TTCGATCTACAACCCCGTCGTCGCATTCCCTTGTAGGAGACGGAAGTGAGATAAACGTTTGCGAGATGCAACCACGAAAATGCAGAGGTAATGTTCGATCCTTTTTTCGACGATGCAACGCAAAAAAATATTATATGTGTATATATATATACACACACACAGAAAATAACACTATAATGTTAATAATAACCACAGATGTAACAAGCATTCGTCATTCTGATTTCGAAAGACGTCATTAGATGTCAAAATGACGTCATTTTAACATATAATTTATTATGACTGATTAAATACTTATAATTTATTATATATTATCTAAATTGCTTTTGTGTATCTCTTTATTTTAATCTTTTAAAATTGTATATAAATAGCAGGATAAAATAATAGTATAAACAATATTTTATTATATATGTATACTTAACTGCTGTAGATTTTGTCAATTAATTTTTTTATAAATTCATGTATTTTAGATATGTATTTTGGAACTTAGAAACAAAAATTTTATTGTTTATATTATTGAATGTAGTCAATTAATTATCATTATACAGCATTGAGAAAAAGAGGAAAGCTCCGAAATACAGCTACAGGCTAAACTATAATGGCTAAAAACCAACAACTCGTTGATACAAAATACCTATTACTGCCATTAATAAACGAGTTAAGACGTGTATATCAGAAAATCTAAGAAATAGTTTATTACTTGTCGAGCTCGCACTTTTGCCTACGTTTCCCTTGCTTTCTGTACTCTTATCTGAAATGGAATTTAGTCCAAGACGAGTTATCGAACATGTGGTAGCAAAACAAATGAGTTGCAAATTCAAGACACAGTAGTCGTTTTCCGGCAATCTATTAATTATTATTATTTAGACCCTGAATCAGAACAAAAAGTTAATTATTCATAAATAAAACTTATATTAGAATTATAATACTAATATTAAGAAAAGTAAAACTAATATTTGGAGAAACAAAACCAATATTTGGAAAAACAAAATTAATACTAGAAAAATAAAACTAATGTTATAGGTAACTTGTATTTTTGACAAGTTCTAAAGTATTAAAGGAAAAGTTAATATAAAATTGAGAAATGGCGCATGCGTAGCGCACGCTTTTCTGTTCTATAGTACATAAAAAAAGTAAATTAGCGTAATTTTATAAAGCTATTATATATGGTAACAGAATTTACCCTATAATAACGTCATAGTTTACACTATATTATATTTAGTCTTAAAATATAAAATTTCTTAAAACTTTTCTTCTAAATATTGCATAATGTTATGCATAATATTAATTCGCAGATTTTGTCCTCTATGTAATTACAGCGGAGTCTTCCGGGTAAAGTTTCGTTAGCATTTCATTTGGTACGTAATGCGTATTTTCGAATCTACAAAAATAGCGACCAATTTCGGAATTATCGATCCATTTCGGCGCTGCTAAAGTGAGATTACCTAAAATTAAAAAATGCAAATAAGAAACAATGTACAAAAAGTAAAATAAATAATAAACAAATTAATAAATAAAATGTATTATATAACTGTGAAATCATAAAAAACGAATTATAAAGAAATAAAGTGTTCGTAGAATATAAAAATATAAATTTCAATAAAACACGTTCAATATGATATATAATGTATTTATACCTTCATTTACGTAACATATTTTATTATTATTGGTAAGAATAATATAATTTGTTTGATGCAGTGGAAATTGATAATTGTTACAATGATTCAACGGCAAATAGTCTATTTTTTTTGGATCAATTTGCCAACTGTTGCAAGTTAGATCAGGTGCAAAAATTTCATAACGTCTGTCTGTCTCACGATCCCATCCGATTATGACGCCGTCGCAATTATTGATTTCGCAATAATCACGATGTGTTACAATCATTCCTACCGCAAATTTTACGTCCTTTGTTCTAATGAATTGCTCTGTTTTTTTTAAACAAAGTGTTCTAATCTGAAAATTTAATGTTTTACTTTAATTTATCATTTTTTGCCATTTAAAACCAAATTAGAAAGCAATTCATTGACCGACACCGGCAAAGTTAAAAATCTTTTATTGCCATTTAATTCTAAAATATACATTTATAGCAAATTTAATTACCCTTATTGTTAAATTATAAATAACTATAACTCATATGTATATAGCTGTACATGTCAAAAAGAAAGGAGAGAAAATTTTTTATTACTATTATAATATATTTTAAAATATGCGGTGTGTATAGTGCATACATACTTCAAAATCACTTTTACCAAATGAATAAATTTTATTACGCTGCATAATCTGAAAAATATTGTTATAGTGGTATGTCAAATCCGCAACTCTTAGCAGTATCCTGTCTCGCAGTTCACATGGTGATATTCGACTTAAGCTTTGCATGGTAAAGAATCATTACCATAAAAATACTGCCACTTCCGATACAGTGGTTTATTGACACAACAATACTGGAATTTCTCAAACTAAAACATCATAATAAACTAAAACATCTTACATTTTTGGATTAATCGTGCCACTGCAAAGCAAACAAATTATTTATCTATTATGCACACCTGTGTATATGTAGAAATATTTTTTAAAAGATTTAAATAATTCCAAATTTAATTTTATATTACTTACTATTTGGATTTTCAATATATACAGTAAAATAGTTCTAATCGATCACCAAATGCCACAATGTTGGAACGTAGACCAAGTCTTCTTGCCACGCAGTGATATATTATTAATAAAATCATTTCTTGTCCAAATTTACTTTTTAGTACCTATGCCAGAAATTGCAATAAACTATTGAGAGAATAACAGTATATTTAATATATAAACAAACAAACGGCCATGCTCACAGTACGATTTTTTTCTTCTGACGCCACATATAGTTATAATATTCATTCTATAACTTACATTATCTATACACATGTATTCCTGATTTGTATTGTTCACTTTGCACGGTCGAAAATTTAATTTGCCAAATATGTACTCGTCTAATGCATCGATAATCTGAATTCCTTCCGCTTCGTTCCAGTGATTATTGTCTATATTAATGTTTTTCCAATAAGAAAAGAATTCAGCGGACGTTGAAAATATCGAATGATCTGGATGTTTTTGTTTCAGATAATTTTTTACCTCTAGTGCGATATTATCCAAAGATTCTATTACGTACGCGTAACTTACATCCTTTTGGATTTGTAAAGTTTGTGCTACATTAAAGGCAATCCATTCTATAATCCGCGCTCTATCAGGTAAAGTCAAAAATATGCGCAACTCTAATTTTATATTAGAATTCCTTATATAGTTAAATAATTTCTCGTGATAATATCTTTCTGTTAAATCGCAACCAGTTCTTCTGAAAAATTTACATATTAAAATTGTACAAGAACATAATCTATAAAGATGTTAGCACTATAAAATATATAAGAATCCTACCGTGAAGAATGTGTAAGCAAGCTTTTAAGCTCATCGTTGTAAAAAGAAAATATGGAGAATCCTCGATCACAATATATGAATTCTTCATAATTACTGTCTCTAAGATGGGAAAAAAATATATGTTTGAAATGCACACTATTATCGATTGTTTCATTGTGATAATGCATATATTTCATGTGAGACACGTATTTTCGTAATTGTCTCGTATAATTGATACCCAATTTTATAAAGTTTATAATTTTTTTCTTGGGTTTGCATTTTCTACGATCTTTAATAGTCTTATTGTTAGACAATATGTCACAATATTCTTTTAAAGAAGGCCATCTAAAATTAAAACAAAAAATAATTTAATAAAGTTTTCAAATAATATTAAAAGTTCTATTGCAGCATCATTAATCGAAATTCAGAGCAATTTATTTTTATAATAAATATAATTTTTTATTTGATTTTTACATATTATATTTATTTAGGATACTGTACAAATTATTCAATTAATTGATATAATTTTATAATATCACAATTATAAAAAGTATTCTTTTTTATTTAAATTTCATCATATTATACACCTGTATGCTATATTTCTAATTTCTAATTATATAATATTACATTTATTTATTACGTTATGAAAATGGACGGAAAGCCACCTATACACTATAATAATGTCATAGTTTCTACTATATAATATTTAGTCTTAAAATATAAAATTTAAAAAAATTTTTTTCTAATCATTGCATAATGTTATTCATAATATTAATTCGCAGATTTAGTCCTCTATGTAATTACAGCGGAGTCTTCCGGGTAAAGTTTCGTTAGCATTTCATTTGGTACGTAATGCGTATTTTCGAATCTACAAAAATAGCGACCAATTTCGGAATTATCAATACATTTCGGCGCTGCTAAAGTGAGATTACCTAAAATTAAAAAATGCAAATAAGAAACATTGTACGAAAAGTAAAATAAATAATAAACAAATTAATAAATAAAATGTATTTATAACTGTGAAATCAATAAAAAATCGAATTATAAAAAGAAATAAAATGTTCGTAAAATATAAGAATATATAATTTTCAATACAACACGTTTAATATGATATATAATGTATTCATACCTTCATTTACGTAACATATTTTATTATTATTGGTAAGAATAATATAATTTGTTTGCTGTTCTGTAAATTGATAATTGTTACAATGATTCAAAGGCAAGTAGTCTATTTGCATTGAATTATTTCGCCATCTGGCGCTATTTAGATTATCTGTCAAAATTTCATAACGTCTGTCTGTATGACGTTCCCATCCGATTATGACGCCGTCGCAATTATTGCATTCATCACGATGTGTTAGGATCATTCCTACCGCAAATTTTACGTCCTTTGTTCTAATGAATTTCCCTGTTGTTTTTAAACAAAGTTCTTTGACCTGAAAGTATAATGTTATACTTTAATTTATAATTCTTGCCATTTAATTCTTAAATATATATTTATAGCATATTTAATTATTCTTATTATTAAATTATAAATAATTATAACTCATATGTATATAGCTGTACCTGTCAAAAAGAAAGAAAAGAGAATTTATTGTTACTATTATAATATATTTTAATTAATGCGGTGTGTATAGTGCATACATACTTCAAAGCTACTTGTTTTAAATAAATAAATTTTTTTACGCTCCTTAATCTGAGAAATGTTGTTATAGTGGTATGTCAAATCCGTAAATCTTAGCAGTATCCTGTTTCGCAGTTCACATGGTGATATTCGACCTAATCTATTGCACGGTAAAAAATCATTACGATATAAATTTTGCAACCTCTTCTGATACGCTGATTTGTTGACACGACAATCCGGGAATTTGTTAAACATTACACTAAAACATCTTTCATTTGCTGGATTAATCGTGCCACTGCAAAGCAAACAAATTATTTATCTATTATGCACACCTGTGTATATGTAGAAATATTTTTTAAAAGATTTAAATAATTCCAAATTTAATTTTATACTACTTACTATCTGGATTTCCAATGTATACAGTAAGATAGTTCTAATCGTTCACCGAATGCCGCAATGTCGGAACGTAGACCAAGTCTTCTTGCCACGCTGTGATATATTATTAATATAATCACTTCTTGTCCATATCTACTTTTTAGTACCTATGTCAGAAATTGCAATAAATTAATGAGAGAATGACAGTATTTTTAATATATAAACAAACAAACGCGCGCGCGCGGCCATGCTCACAGTACGATTTTCTTTTTCTGACGCCACATATAGTTATAATATACATTATATAACTTACATTATCTATACACATAAATTCCAGAATTGTATCGTTTATTTCGCACGGCCGAAATTTTAATTTGCGAAATATGTATTCGTCTAATGCATCGATAATCTGAATTCCTTCCGCTTCGTTCCAGTGATTATTGTTTATATTAATGTTTTTCCAATAAGAAAAAAATTCAGCGGGCGTCGAAAATATCGAATGATCTGGATGTTTTTGTTTCAGATAATTTTGTACCTCTCGTGCAATATTATCCAAAGATTCTACTACGTACGCGTAACTTACATCCTTTTGGATTTGTAAAGTTTGTGCTACATTAAAAGCTATCCTTTCCATAAGCCACCCTCTAGCAGGTAAAGTCAAAAATTTGCGCAAGCTTAATTTTATTTCAGAATTCCTTATATAGTTAAATAGTTTCTCGTGATAATATCTTTCGGTTAAATCGCAACCAGTTCTGAAAAATTTACATATTAAAACTGTGCAAGAACATAATCTATAAAGATGTTAGCACTACAAAATATATTAAGAATCCTACCGTGGAGAATGTGTGAGCAAGCTTTTAAGCTCATCGTTGTAAAAAGAAAATATGGTGAATCTTCGATCACAATGATATATGAATTTTTCATAATTACTCTGTCCTAGATGGAAAGGAAATATATGTTCGAATTGCACACAATTATCGATTGATTCATCGTCATAATGCACATATTTCATTTGAGACACGTATTTTTGAAATTGTCTCCTATAATTGATACCTAATTTTATAAAGTTTATAATTTTTTTCTTGGATTTGCATTTTATACGATCTTTAAAAGTCTTAGACATAATGTCATAGTGTTCTTTTAAAGAAGGCCATCTATAATTGAAACAAAAAATGATTTAATATTATTAAATAACATTAAGAGTTCTATTGCAGCATCATTAAACAAAGTTCAGAGCAATATATTTTTAAATTAATTATAATTTTTTATTTGATTTTTACATATTTTATTTATTTAGGATACTTTACAACTTATTTAGTTAATTGATATATTATATTGATAATATCACAATTATAAAAAGTTTTCTTTTTTATTTATATTTTATCATATTATACACTTGTATGCTATATTATAATTTCTAATTATTTTATATTACATTTATTCATTACGTTATGAAAATGGACGGAAAGCCACCGGTTGCATGTGTTTTTAATAAAACTTTTTAATTATTTAAAATATTATTTCATTATATAATGTATTTATAAAAATTATGTTACGTATAAGGAGCTAAAATGGACAAGATTTAAAGCAAGAATTTTGAATATTTAACTATACGCGTTAATTCCAATTTCTGCGTCTTGTCTTTCATTAAAGCGTTTTTTACGCGTTTGTTTTTATTAAATGTGTCAACTAAAAACCTTGAATACTTTTTATCGCGTTATTTCTTGAATATACAAAATTATCTAGTTGTATTCTATAATAAAGAATCGATCTCCAAGTCCGACGATGAAGTAAAGGAGGCATTACATGAGTGTCTTTATGTTCTTAGGTAAAAGACTTTTCTAGAAATATCCTGGCACTTCCAGAACACTGGAACGTTTTTATTAAACGCAATGGGGAATATTTACAATCAGAAAAATAATCTAAAAGTGTGTACTCTTTTTGTGTTCGAAAAATTATAAGATGAATAGTATTTAATAAAATAAAATTTTTTTAATAAACTCACTTAATAGCCATTGTTCATTAGAGTCTTTTTAACTATTTGTTTTAATAAATGTATATTGATTTTCTTATTAAATTTTAAATATATCGAAATATATATAAAATTTATTAAATATCCCGAAAATTATCACACTTTATTATTTGTTTCCATCTGTTAATGATTACGGATTAGAAATGAAAAAAAAATAATAAATAGATTGGACGACGATTTTCGAATGTATATAATCCAAAATTATAAAAAATGCATAATTATAGAAAATCGTTATATATTTCTACAAAACAAATACCATATAGATAACACATACATATTTTGATTTGAAACAATAATTGTTAAGCAAATGAATGCAAATCGAGACACATATCTAATCGTCACACGGTCGCAAAAAGAAAGTACAATATTTACAAGAATCGACGTGAATTGCTTTTTTAGAAAATGATTATTTAATAGATTCTATTCTGTATTTTATTATATTCATTATATTTGTAATTTTTAGATAAAACTTTCAAATATACAAAACTAACGATGCAATGTTTGATCTATGCATGTAAAATATACAAACAACAAAAACTTACCTTTGAGAAAATTTCATTTCCATATACTTTATTGGATAGCTGGCTGCATAACGAAATTGTCTGCAGACGCATCGGAAATTAATGATATCCTCGATGGTGATATCCTTGTAGCTGAAAATAATGGATATCAATTCTTCTGGTAAGGATGTTATCGTTGCCATTATGACAAAAATTCGAGAAAGATCACTATAGAAAATTATATAAATCGAAGTGATTGCAACAAATTATTCGCGTATAATTATTAAAAATTTCAATTCGCATAACACGTGTTCGATGTGAATGCTACGGACGTTGTTCTTGCTCTGTCCACTCTTCTCTGAAATTTCTACCTGCGAACCTAAAGTATGCTCCCTCCCGTCGTGCACGGTGTCACGTGATGCACACCATAAGAAAAGAGAAAAGAGAAAAAAAAATGTATTGTTGGAAATTCTATTGTTCCATTTTTATTTTACAATGAACCTTCAAGACAGAAGAAAATAGAGAATTACAGAATAATATTAAATTAACACAAAAAAGGGTAACAGTTAAAAAAAATTCTCGAAATAGGAAAATGGTACTTTTGTAAATAATATATAAAATAAAAATAACTACATTTTGTTTGAAAAATTGAAAATCTGTTAAAATTTTTAATGTGTTACTTCGTGCAAGCTTTAAAGAGATACATAATTTAAAAGATGATTTATTTTTATATTTGCTTCGCACTTTTACGCGTTAATTTAATACTGTTCTCTGTGATTCTCTGTCTTCTTCTGTCTGACAGGCTCATTGTAGAATGAAAATGGCACAATAGAGTTTCCAACAATATACAGGGTGTCCGGTAATAAACGGACAACGATTACAAGTGGAATCTTTGGTCAATTTGGGAACGATTTTTTTCAGCAAAAATGTCGAAAAGGTCATCATTTTATACAACTTTTTAATATTTGTCATTAATCTTTATAATTAAGCCTCAAATTAAAATTTTATTATAGTAAACTTTACCTAAAATTAACTAAAAAATGTAATTATGTTAGACTTTTAACTTCAAAACGTTTAGTTTTAAAAAAAACCCATTTGTTTCAATCGCTTATAACCCGAAAATTATTGACTTCTCAACATTTTTGCTAAGGAAAAATCGTCTCCAAATTGGCCTGAGAATCCGCCCTTAATCATTGCTCCGTTAATTACCGGACACTATTTTGTTTCTCTCTTTTACGTATGGCACATCACAAGATAATGCAGGACGAAAGGGACTACTTTAGCACCTCAGGTATACCTATTTGAGAAAAATAATGGACAGGAAGTGGACAACGTGCGCAGTGTTAACATCGAACACGTGTTGTGCAGTCTAAAATTTAATGTCTTTAGAAGCAGCCAGTTATTATATTAAATTATTCGCGAATAATTTGTTGCAATTACTTCAGTTTGTATAATTTTCTATAGTGATCTTTCTCGAATTTTTGTCATAATGGCAACGATAAAATCCTTACCAGAGGAATTGATACCCATCATTCTCGGCTACAAGGATATTACCATCGAGGATATCATTAATTTCCGATGCGTCTGCAAACAATTTCGTTCGCAGCCAGCTATACAAAGTATATGGAAACAAAATTTTCTCAAAGGTAATTTCTTGTTGTTTGTAAATTTTCATGAATAGATCGAACATTGCATCATAGTAATATTTGAAAATTTTATTTTAAAAATTACAAATATAAAAAGTATAATATAATAAAATAGAGAGTTGAATAAAGAGAATTTAATAAACAATCATTTTCTAAAAAAAGCAAATCAAGTCGATTCTCGTAAATATTGTACTTTTTTCTGCGACGATGCAACGATTAGATATGCATTGTGAGTTACATTTGGTTAACAGTTATTGTTAACAAACAAAATTAAATACAATTTAAAAAAATTGGACAATGACGCGCGCGTATGTGTTGTCTATATAATATTTTTTTTGTAGAAATATAACGATTTTATATGGATTTTCTATAATTTCAAATTATATATATTCGAAAATCGTCATCCAATATATTTATTACTTTTCTTTCATTTCCAATCCGTAATCATTAACATATATGGAATCAAATAATGAAGTGTGATACTTTTCGGGATATTTAATAAATTTTATAAATATATATATATATTTCTATATTTCAAATTTAATAACAAAATCAATATACATTAATTTATTAAAACAAAGACTCCAATAACTCGTCTGAAAGTCTTGACGTGTTGTCAAATCGACACTATGTTCGTTCTTGACATCTTAAAATTATAATTTTATTTTTATTTTCACAAATCACTTGATAAGGACTCAAAAAGGGTCGAAATGTTGTGATTGAATAAATAATATTTGCCAGTACGGTCGAGAGAAGATTCTTACTATTTGTAATGAATAAATATAATATAATTAAAAAATGAATAAATATAATATAATTAAAAATTAGAAAAATTAGAAATACAAATGTATAATTGACAAAATATAAATAAAAAAAGTACTTTTTATAATTGTAATATTATAAAATTATATCAATTAATTGAATAATTTGTGAAGTATCCTAAATAATAAATATAATATGTAAATGAAATTAAATTAAATGAAAAAATTATAATTATTTTAAAAATATATACCTCTGAACTTTTTGATTAATGATGCTGCAAGAACTCTTAATATTATTTGAAAACTTTATTAAATTATTTTTTGTTTCAATTTTAGATGGCCTTCTTTAAAAAAATATTGTGACATATTGTCTAAGACTAAAGATCATGAAGAATACAAATCTAAGAAACAAATTATGAACTTTATAGAATTGGGTATCAATTATACGAGACAATTTCGAAAATACGTGTCACAAATGAGATATATGCATTGTCACAAAGTATCAATCGATAGTTGTGTGAATTTTGAACATATAATTCCTTGATATGATCATTATTTAGTCATACATAATTATGAGGAGGTATTTTATTATAATCAAAAATGCTCTCAATTTTCTTTCTACAATGATGAGCTAAAAAGCTTGCTTTCACATTCTCCACGGTAAGATTCTTAATATATCTTATAGTGCTAACATCTCTATAGATTATGTTCTTGCACAGTTTTAATATGTAAATTTTTCAGAAGAACTGATTGCGATTTAACCGAAAGATATTATCACGAGAAACTATTTAACTCTATATGGAAATATAATATAAAATTAAGATTGCACAAATTTCTTACTTCATCTCAGAGAGCGAGGCTTATGGAATGGACAGCCTTTAATGTAGCTCAAACTTTACAAATCGAAAAGGATGTAACTTACGCGTACGTAGTAGAATTTTTGGATCATATCGCACTAGAGGTACAAAATTATCTGAAAAAAGAACATCCAGGTCATTCGATATTTTCGACGTCCGCATTTGCTTTTTCTTATTGGAAAAACAATAATATAGACGATAATCACTGGAACGAAGCGGAAGGAATTCAGATTATCGATGCATTGGACGAATACATATTTCGCAAATTAAAATTTCGGCCGTGCAAAGTGAACGATACAAATCTGGAATTCATGTGTATAGATAATGTAAGTTATATAATGTATATTATAACTATATGTGGCGTCAGAAGAAGAAAATCGTACTGTGAGCATGGCCATTTGGTTGTTTATATATTAAATTCTGTCATTCTCTCATTAATTTATTGCAATTTTTGGCATAGGTACTAAAAAGTAGATATGGACAAGACATTATTTTATTAATAATATATCACAGCGTGGCAAGAAGACTTGGTCTTCGTTCCGACATTATAGGATTCGGTGAACGATCAGATCTATCCCACTGTATATACTGGAAATCCAGATAGTAAGTAGTATAAAATTAAATTTGGAATTATTTAAATCTTATAAAAGGTATTTCTACATACACAGGTGCGCATAATAGATAAATAATTTGTTTGCTTTGCAGTGGCAAGATTAATCCAGAAAATGAAAGATGTTTTAGTTTAACTTTTGAAAAATTCCCGGATTGTTTTGTTAATAAACTAGATTGGTGGAAGTCGCAGCATTTATTTTGTGAGGATCCTTTACATTGCGAAAGCTTTAATACAAGAGAACGATGTGATATGCGAAACGAGATAATGCTAAAAGTTGCGGATGTGACATACCACTATAACAACATTTCTCAGATTGTGCAGCGTAATAGAATTTATTCGTTTCATAAAAGTGACTTTGAAGTATGTTTGCACTATATATGCCGCATATATTAAATTATGTTATAATAGTAATAAAAAAAATTCTCTCTTCTTTCTTTTTGACACGTACAGTTATATATATTATGAGTTATAGTTATTTATAATTTAATAATAAGGGTAATTAAATTTGCTATAAATGTATATTTTAGAATTAAATGGCAAGAATGATAAATTAAAGTGTAACATTATACTTTCAGATCAAAGTAGTTTGTTTAAAAAGGACAGGGCAATTCATTAGAACAAAGGACGTAAAATTTGCGGTAGGAATGATCGTAACACATCGTGATGATTGCAATAATTGCGACGGCGTCATAATCGGATGGGATCGTCATACAGACAGTCGTTATGAAATTTTTACATTCAATATAAATGATTGGCTTATATTATTAAATCGCACAATGGAAACAGATTTCTTGCCGTTGAATCATTGTCACAATTATAAGTTTACAAAGCGACAAACAAATTATATTATTCTTACCGATAATAATAAAATATGTTATGTAAATGAAGGTATGAATATATTATATAGGTATCATATTAAACGTATTTTATTTAAAATTATATATTTTTTTATTCTACGAACATTTTATTTCTTTTTATAATTTTATTTATTAATTTGTTAATTATATTTATTTCACTTTTTGTACATTGTTTCTTATTTGCGTTTTTTTAATTTTAGATAATCTCATTTTAGCAGCGCCGAAATGGATCGATAATTACGAAATTGGTCGCTATTTTTGCAAATTTGAAAATACGCATTACGTACCAAATGAAATGCTAACGAAACTTTATCTGCAAGACGCCGCTATAATTACACGGAGGACAAAATCCTTAAATTCCATCAAACCGCCCGCACGCACACACACCTATACACAAAGACATCACGCATAGAGACGCATTATCCGCAAAACGCCGCTGTAATTACCCAGATGACAAAATCTCCAATTAAAAATTATGAATAACATTTTGCGATATTTAGAAGAAAACTTTCACGAAATTTTATATTATAAGACTAAGTTTATAAGTTTACGGTGTAGTAACACATATAAGTAATATTACATGATATTAAGCTGCTTTGATCATTTTGCTGCGCGGTTTTTTTATATATAATTATAATTACTTATTAATTATTCTCATCGATTTTCACGGTTTTTATGTAGCATTAAAGATAGGAAGGAGGAAGATTCCAAGGAGAACAGATGGTCAAAATGACATCATTATGACACTATCGTGACTTTTTGTTCTTTTTGAGTTTTAACACTTTATGATGACTGTCATTATTAGCGTCATTCAAAAGACGTTAGCATAACACAAAATAGAACATATTTTCTACAAGTTAATAATATTTACATAAAAAAATAAGTAAAAATTTGAAAGTGCTAAGCTGCAATTAATTTATATTTTCTTAATTTTTACAAATGTCTATATTATATGATTTTATATATATTTTATTTCGTCTGTCTTTTTTCAGAATACATTGTATTATTAATAAATTTCAATTTGTAGATAATCTTTTTGAACTTTTATAAAGGAATTCTGGCCACCACTTTATCAAACGTTTGAACCAACATTGTTCGCAATATTAGACACAATATTTACTGATTTAGCCAATTGTTTTTTCTCGCATGTTTCATTTTCGAAAGTATAAAATTCGTACATTTGTTATACATTAAGAAATGTTAAATTTTACGCAGAAATAAAAATGTTATATCCTAAATTGATGTTTTCCAATATTGATATCCTAAACACACAGAAACCTTAATTATTATGATTTATAAAAACGTAGATATTTGAGAATCGCCAGACAGAATTTAAAAAAAAAGTAGGACTATTCTTTCGACCGTACTGGCAAATATTATTTATTAAATCACAACGTTTCGATCCTTCTTTGAGTCCTTATCAAGTGATCTAGATATACATAGAGAAGAAATACAGTACAGAGATTAATACAATAAAAAATTACTTCACTTAACAATATTACAAAATAATAAAAAGAAGCGAAACATACTTGTGAAAATAAAAACAAAATTATAATTTTAAGATGTCAAGAATGAACATGTGTTGGTTTGACAACACGTCAAGACTCTTAGATTATGATTTATATTTACATTATGAAATTATTCGGTTTCCTTGTTTCTGCGATTGTAGACAAATAAAACGGAATAAAATAACACTCGATGGATCGTTGGTCCTTGTTTGATTCAGCCGTTTTACCGCGCTTTTTACCGAGCGTCACGACTTAATTTATGTCCACTTTGTCTGGGGGCGTACTAGTACACGCTGCCGCTGAATCCCGGTGGCCACTCTCATGTTTCGTGCTCTGTAGACATTTTTACCATCGACTTTCCCATCTGTGTCACGCAACGTCTCGTGATGTCGGGTGAGTTGTCATTGGATTTTCCTATAAATAATCACCTTTCATTACATATGTATTGCGTGTTTAGTGTGTCAGAGCGTATGCGAGACAATTTAACGTTGTCTTACGTGGAAATGTCATTTTTTAGAAATACCTGAGCGCAATCAACAGAATGACAAGTTCGATCGCAGAGTCGAAAGAGTCACTGTCCGCGAACAATAAAGGTTATCTTTTCATTTACCGATCCTCATAAAAATATATATATATATATATATTAACAATATTATTCGATTACAAGTATAATTGTCTAATAATTAAATGCGTATGTTGCAATAATATACGTATACTATGTGTTTTCTTTTGGAATAAGTTTTTTGTTCATATTGACTGTTACTTCAGGATACTTGGCTCCAAGGATGTCGATATCCTACGAGGAGATGGCCACGAAGCTTCTCAACGAGAAGCTTCTCTTGACAGCTCTGGAATTGCACGCTGAATTATGCGAAGCTGGCAAGGAGCTGCCTATTCTTAGAGAGTTCTTTTCAAATCCAAACAATTTCGAGAACTCCAACATCAAACCAGAACCATATACCCCGATGCGTATGTATTTTGTGAAGAAAATTCTACATTTACATACATATATATATATATATCTTGTTTTAAAAAAATTATTAAATTAATCCGATTATTTTTCTTCTTTTGTTTTATAAATATATATATATATATATATATTTATATTTATAATATTACATATATAATAATTGATATATCAATATATTAGATTAGATAGAGTTTATTTTGCTGCTAAGGAATTCAATTTTGTACATTAGCCTTTACATCTTACAATTTACATTCCACTTTCCTTCTGTAAAAAAAAAAAAAAAAAAAAACATAACACCATATAAGAAATCTAAACTATAAAATAACATATCAACGTAATAATTTATACAAAAAATTTGATATATTAATATATAATAATTTATAATAATAAAATGAAACATTACATATTAGCCAGATCTTCTAGTCAGGCGACTTTGGATTCTCTGGACATGACGCGATATTCGGAGGATGGAGCTGGCGTTGATGAAAGAGTTGCTATTCTGGAATTTGAGTTACGCAAGGCCAGAGAAAATATTTCTGCGCTGCGTGCTAATCTAACTGTAGTAACAGGTATGTTTTGCTTACATAGTACGTTTTCATATTGATTTATATAATATGCTTTTTCCATTAATAATATATTATGATTAAAAATTTCAGAATTGGAAGGTACACTGAAGACACCGGACAAGAGCTCTGAAAAGAATCCCACCATCGGACTGCCCATAAAGCCACATGAACAGCGAGCACTGAATTTTCTCATCAATGAATATTTGCTGGCGAGATCTTACAAGCTTACTTCGATTACTTACAGTGACGAGTGTGAAGATCAAGACTTTGAGGATTGGCAAGATGTTGGATTAGATATACCAAAACCTGCAGAATTATTACAGATATATCGGGAGTTTATGAGAGCCAATGGATATGACAAACCCTCGTCTGTCAGTGTTGCCATACAAACGGACTTTGTTTTCGAAGAAGTGGAAGCGCAAAAGGATGAATCTCAGGAAATGGTTTGTTATTTTGGGTAATTAACAGAGCTTCTATAAAATTTGAGAAGCTAAAATATATCCATTCTCAAATTCTAGAATGTATTTCTGTATTCCTTACAGGTAGAACAGATTGAAAGGTTACAGCAACAAATTACAGTGTTGGAACAAGAGAAAACTGCTCTCCAAGACATTATTTCATCACACAAGGAAAATGTTATAGAAAATCCAGTCAAAGTGAGCCTATTAAAATTTTTTTATATAAAAACATTTTGCAATCAATAACGTAAAAATTTAAAGAATTCTAAATCTATACATATTCTAAAATTTCTTAAAGTTTAATACTTGAACAATAACACATTATATGTTGCATAAAAAAAATTTTTGATGTTTACAGTCAGGTAGTTGTGGAACTATCCGTACCATCAATTCCAGCTCGACAACTCCTGACAAGTTTGAACTGCTTGAATCATTACCAAGGGACATGTCAATCACCACTCAGGAACCGGAAGAAGATGATAGCGCTTCTGCAGTAGTTAGCCTAGACGAGACAGATCCAGGAGACAAAGAGTGGACTAGGCTGCAATTACCTAGAGTAAATGTTACGGAGAAATCCTCCGTCTTACCAGCCGCATCCTCCAGGTTAATTATTTTATTATACATATTTAATATTAGCAATGTAGAATTTTGTATCGAGTTAATCAAAATTAATTGGAGCTAGCAAATAAACTAAATTTTACAGAGTATACATATGTATATATATAATAGATTCATGATGTAAAATTTAGAAAAGAGCTTAAAGATTTCTCTAACTTAATATATATTGCAGGGATTTGCCGACAAAGTTCAAAGTAGAAATAGCAACGCATTGCTTGGCGAACGTTTCGGGATCAACAATATCTTCGATGGAGGAGTCATTGAAACGCGGAGTCACGCGAGATACATTAGTCGAGATTTTGACGTATATTTTGCCACGTGTAGTACCCAACATCATCCTTAACAAGCGCGAAGAGATTATTCCTTTGATTCTCAGTGCGATTCATCTGCATTCCAATTCCAGCGAGAGAGAGAAATTGCTACAGCTGTTGTTCAATTTGAAAAAGAGGCCGCAGGAGGACGAGCGGCAAATGATATTGGCTGGTTGGAGCAATATTTTCAATTTCCAATTTAATGATCTATATTATTAAATTTAAATCGCTTAATGATTAAGACAAAAGAATTTGCTTTCAACAATATTTATGTGATTTAAAAATTTAGAATTTTTATTCATTGAAAACTAAATTAATGCCAAGTTTCTTTCCATTTCTTGTTGTATCATTAGGTTTAGTCGTAATGGCAAAACTTGCGGAAGAGCCATTGGAAGGTGAAGAAATCCTAACAATCTGTTGGGAGCAGAGCCAACACAAGTATCCAGAGAGAAGACTATTAGCTGTTGAATGTTGCTCTGTGCTGGCATCCTATACATCGGCTTCCATCAGGAACTCGCTGATGCTATCGATGCTGCAACAGATGTTATTGGAAGATAAGGATCCTGTTGTTCGAACTAGTGTTGTGAGAAGTCTAGCACTGCTTATAGCTTTAATGGATGATCCTGACAAATATTTCCAGGTAAAGAGATATATACATATATAGAATATTATTTCATTTTAAATATATGTATTATTATATATATTTTATTTTTATTTTATATATATTTAATATATATATATATATATATATATATATATATGTATGTATTTTATTTTAATATATTTTTATTTTTTTTTTTTTAAATTTTCATACATATCACACAAGATATATATATATATATATATATATATATATATATATATATAAATAAATATATTATAAATATATTTTGCATATATAAAAAAATATAAAATCTGTGTGTGTAATAAAATTTATAATAATATAAAAATATAATTTATATACTATATATAGAATATATATGAAATATAATAATACTTCTAGCTTTAACATTACATATAAATTTATGTACATTACAGTGCGAGGAACTGGCGTTAACTGCACTTAATGACACTTCGTCGACGGTCGTCGAAACGGCATCCTCAGTATTGTTACCAGTTCTGGCACAATGGGCGTTATCTTTGAAGAGGCTGCATCTGAATTTGCTGCCGCGCGTAATCTCGAAAGTGAAGAATCAGTTGAAGCCGACGCATTCCCACACTTCGCCGAACAAGGACTACGTCGACGAGGAGAAATTGGTGCCGTCGATCGCTATCCTACAATATATTCTGCCCTATACAGTTTTATGCGTCGCCGATTCCGACGAGGTACGAGCCTGCGTCGAGGACGGAACGTCGCCGGATTTGTGTGAGTTGTTAGAAGAAACGAATGAGAATCTGTAATGACAAGTATATAATATATATATTTTTTATTATTATATAGGAGGAAATAGATATAATAAATATTTTAAAGATTTAAAAAGAATAGAATATAAAAATCTGTCGAATCTGAAGATTCAAAATTCCAGAATTTAAAGATTGTAAAATTAAAAAAAAAAATATTCATAAATTTGAAAGAATTTAGTTCGAGTAAAATATTAAAAAATTTAAGTTAAATATTGAAAGTTTAAAACTCTTAGAATTTTAAAATTTTCAAAGATCCAAAAATAGCGTCGAGCATTTCTTGTTAGAGATTTTGCATAAAAAGCTCGCACAAAAACAAAAGCACAAAAGTTTTCTAGAAACTTTGTGGTGCAGCCGAGGAATTTCTGGACTTGTGTCACTCCAATATCATCGATCCGAGGATATTCTACGAGGGTCCGGTAGACATCGGCGTTCTTCTCAATACTTTCTTCTCCAGATCCTGGGAGGATGCATCCTGGCCAGAATTAGAATGGTTTACGAAAAAACTGTACGTGAATGTTATTTATTTTTATACATAATGTATAAATATATTATTGTATTTACAAATAATATATTTATATTATATTATATTCATAATATTATATATTATTATATATTATATTATACAATTATATTATTATATTTATAACATTATTATTTAATTTTATTATGTAATAATGATGAAAAAATATTCTCACATAAAAATATAATATAATGTTGATAATACATTAATAAATTAATTTTTTTATTTGAAAATTATTAAAATAAATTTTAATAATTAACAAACATTGACTTTTCGACGAATTTAATTAATTATATTTTGAAATATTAATCTCAGAGAATATTTTTGTTCCGCTTTTGCAGAGTGTTTGATGTCTTGGAAATGGTGAAGTGTGCGGATGCAGCGCATGAAAACGTTTTGAAGGCACTTCTTATGTACATTCACTCATTATGCGTGGGCTTTGGCAAATATATCACACGATCCAGGGTAAATATAAAGATTCTACATTTAAACAAAAATTCGTCGTTAATGTGAAAGTTTCGTAGATTCTACAATTTTAGTTTTTGAACATTTTTTCTTTCAAAAATTCTTAATTTATTAAATTTTTCATTAATATATTATATATTGGCATATTTAAAACAATTTTACAAATAAATACTATTTTAGATACAGACAGTATTTTCCCCGGAAGTAACAGAACTCGAGAAACAATTGACAACACTATCGACAGACAGGAAGAATATGAGCTTCATGTTGATCCCTAGCTACTTGGTGATCCTTAGCACTCTCGATCCCACAGAGCTCGCAAACTATTTTAAACAATTCCTCGTGGTGCTCTCCATGAGCGGCACAAGCATATCCTGGCTGCAAATCGCCGCGAGCATTTTATGTACTCGCGAGCAAATACAAGAATACGTGCTTGCTAGTTTATGGGATGGTTCGTGCCAGATATATCTTATTTTTTTCTCTTATATTTCTAGCTTATTAGCTTGTGAAAAAAATAATGCTAATACAAAAAATAGTACATATTAAATTATATAAAAGGTTTTAAAAAATACTTATTTTTCTTTTATTTATCAAGCGACAATTATTTTATATTAAAATATATTTCTTAAAAATAGTAAAGTTAAGTTAAAGATATATACACATGTAGCATTATTATCTTATTTTCTTAGACTTAATAGGCAATATTTTGATATTATAATGTGATATCTTCTCGATCGATCTCGTACAGTCTCTCTCTTCTTTGCAGGTGTGGTACATCAGAGGTCGACCGTAAGATGCGCAACGGCGACGTTATTCGGTTCCGCTATCGCCCACGTCTCGGATCGACTGGCAAACACTAAAATCGTGCCGGCCATCGTAACGCTCGCCAGCGACCCTGAAGTGTAAAAGATACTTTTTTCTTATATGCATACATGTATCTGAAGGCCTTAGATTCAGTTTAGCATCATTAGCTCCTTAAAATCTCGCTCCGGTAATCTTAAGGCTCCTGGTTCTCGCCTCTGACGTCACAATCTAACATGACTGCGGCGAGGTCCCAGGAAGCTTAAATATTTATAAACTAAAATTATACAAGTTATTGTATCTTTTTACGTTTTTAAAAATATCCAAACGATGCACAAACACAAGTCCTCTTCTATATAAAATTATTTAAAGTGTAATGAATCTCCTCTCTCTGTGAAGTAATGAAAGAAATCTTTTCAGTGACGTACGGTGCGCCGCGATCTCCTCGTTGGGTCGTATAATAACGGAGTGCAGGGTGAGGGAAGCCCGTGATAAAGCACGTCTGACGTTGGAAACGATCGCGAAAGATCCTCAAGGACTCTCGCAAACTCTGGCGACCTCATTAGTCACCACGTTCGCGTCCGTCGCTCCCACTTGTCCGCAAAATTACATAGAAATCAGTAAGTATAATCATTACCCTTAACTCATCCATCTATCTCTCTTAATTTCTTATTAATATACATTTGAATATGTAATTCTAAAGCACCTCACATTAATCTTATGTAAAATAGATTTCCGTTATAAATCAGCTGGTTATTTTATATTATTTGTAGTTTATGATCTGCTGAACAAAATATGTAATAAGGGATTTTTTTATTATTTTATTATTTTAATACTTTTATATTAAATAAAATTGCAAATAAATTCCAGTGTTTATTCACAAGGAGGGCATGCTTAATTTTTTAATATAAGTTTCAAAAAATGTATGTTGCTTTGAATATTGTTAGAATATGCGTGAATAATAGAATAAATAAATAATTGTGCATGTAAAAATTTTAAATGACATCATGACGTTATCATCCTGAATATTTTATGTTCTATTTGGAATTGCATTTTCAGTTCAGCAGGTCATTTAAGTTATAGCAATGTATGAAGAAACCAGTTTATTTAAGATGAGTGCGGGATATTTTGATTTAAAAAATCATTAATTTGTTCTTATGTCTCGCTACGTGAATTTTACTTGTATCTGTCAGTATTATTCTATATTAATATCGCCGTATTGTCAATTGCAGTAATAGCCACGCAGTTGTCGACGATTGCTTCGTTTGCGCTTCAACACAGCCGCAAGATCGAGCTGGTAAACGCGCTGGTGGAAGCCTATTCGGTCCTGGTCTACTGTCCCTTAAGTAGCCAATGCGTTTCTGAAACGGTGCTGCCGGGTCTGAGGCACCTCGAGACGCTGGTGAATCAGTGTCTGCCTCAGCAAAAGGACGCGGTACGCTCGTTGCTCAGGGAAGCGGAATCCAAGCAAGACTTGATGAAGCCGATGGAGAGGTATTGTACAAAAATAATTCTGCACTGTACAGGGTGTCCTAAAAATCTTGCGATAGTTAAATATCTCGTAGACAGAGAAATTTTTCTTTATGAGAAAAATGTTTCAAATCAAAGTTACAGGCTTTAAGTGGCTTAATAATAATATTAATGTCATCATAAATAGCATTGTTAAGACCATGTAAAATCTCCACTTTGATATTTTTAATCGAAACTATTTTTCAATTTTTGATAACATATTCATGTAGCTTATTTTAAGAGCTTTTCAAAACACTATAATAAAATGTTTTTTCATTACTTTTCGAGTTATGAGGTTTAAAAGATATAGTATTTTAACATAAAATACAAAATATCTTGTAAAACATTCAGTTTTCGATAAATCTTATCTTAATATTTTTATGCATGAAATAGTTAAACAAATCAATTGTAAAGAAAACGCATAATTGTTTTAAAAAAAATGTGTTGCAAATTGTATACATTTTCTTAAAAATAACTATAATAATTACTATTTAATGTGCCACTTAAAGCCCTACAATTTTTATTTGAATCAATCATTTTTTTCAAAATGCCTTTGTTTTCGAGATATTTGACTGTTGCTGGACTTTTGGGACACCCTGTATATCAAAAATTTTAATTATACTTGTATATACATAATAAACTGAATATATAATAAATTAAACCATAAATTAATCATAAAGAAACATACTGTAAATGATATTATAAATGTTATAGGTGAAATTTCATAAGAGAAATTGCACCTTATTGTTAATTATATTTATAGCTGTCAATAAATGCCCCAATAATTTTGCAAATATTCTTTTCATTTCAGGACACTCTCGACGAGTTCCGGGCTCTCCCTATCTATGGCGACGGTGAATGTAGGCCAGGGTGTCGAGGATATGAGGCAAAGGATGAGCAAGATCTTTCAACAGAAAACCGTATCGCCTAGCATGCCGAGTATTTTCCGCAAGAAATAAACCTCCGAATCTCACGTACAATTGTGAACAAAAAAAAATCGAGTATTAAATTTTTGATCCGCGAGTGTGTTTCGTCAAACGTTTTTACGTAATTCGAAATCACGCAATTCAAGGTTGTTGTTAGAGAGATAATTGTATAATATTGTTTTAATAAATATTAACTTATTTTTTTATCGCTAATTGTAAGTCAAATATATAAATAATTTTATTTAAATATGATATATAATTAGAGAGTAATAAGAAAGATTCTAATATGTAAATAAGAGAGTTCTAAAGAGCGAAAGAATGTATGCATGTAAATTTTCACGTTTCGTAAAAAAAAAAAAAAAAAAAACTTTGGGCAAAACTTCTTTTGATCATTCGCATTAAAAAAAAAAGGAGATTCAAGACGCAATGATTAACAGTAATTAATGTTTAATTTCGAAATCTGTTACTTTACATAGTAATAAACAAACGTCATAGATCATATCGTATATCATATCATATATATCGCATATCATATATATATAATACACAAGTGTTTTCCTCGTAGAAGTAGTTTACAAAATCAGACTTTCTAGGAATACACATCCTGTTCTCTCTCTCTCTCTCTCTCTCTCTCTCTCTCGCTCTCTCTTGCTCGGTTCTCTGTTTTCTTCATTTTTTTTCTTCTTATATAATCACAGCTTATCCTGATGCGTCCAACGAAACGTTGCTATTGTGTGTGATTTTTCTTTTCTTTTAATCAATCGACACAATATATTATTTATAATCACCAGAGAGAATCCGCCGCGACGTCACTCGATCCCAATGGACAATTTTTTTTTTTTTTTCACGAGATCGGAGTTCGCGTCGCGTTTTTTATATTTATATTATTTCACATATTTATTCTCACGCGGTGCAATCTTGGAGAAATCCTCGTTATTTGATGCGACACCGATTATCAAAAAATGTTCGAACGTCACTGTAAAAGTATCCGATCTCCGAGGGGGAGGAAGGAGCAACGACCTGAGGGGGAAGAAGGGGAGAGGGATCCGAAAGCTCAGTTTACTATATAGAACCAAAATTCGATCGGCGTGTGGATCTCTCTATTAAAAAAAATCACATAAATAGCACTCAATTAGCCGTAATGCGCTCATTAAATTAATTAACGGGCAAAGTACTTTCGCAGTATCTTACTCTTCTAATTCTTTCTTTCTCTCTCTTTTCTATTCTAACTAGAATTTATCGCTAAAAAAAAAAACAACGCCGTTAATAACGCAGGCCAATATTATATATATATATATATTTTTTTTTTCTTTTTCCCTCACACATAATCTATCTTCTCTCGCGATTAGTATCTACAGTGTTAATTAGATCCCTCCGTTTATAATTTTCAATTAACAGACTACATAATTATACCGCGCTTTTTTCCTTCCACGTGTGCGCGATCGAAAAACAAGAAACTAGCTCCCAAGTAGCAAACTGACGTCATTAAATGTCAAAATAGCGTCATTTTGAATTTTAATGACGTCATTCAACGTCAAATGACGTCATTCGACGTCGAAATGTTATTTTGACATTTAATGACATTAGAAATCAAAATGACGTCACTGACATTTAATGACATTAGATGTCAAAATAGTCTTTTTAATATTCATGGTCATTGGTTCAATGGTCATTTCAAAATAACATTCAACGTCAAATGACATCATTCGACGTCAAAATGTTATTAAATGTCAAAGTGACGTCATTTTGATGTCTAATGTCATTAAATGTCAAAATAACATTTTGACGTCGAATGACGTCATTTGACGTTGAATGTTATTTTGACATTTAATGACATTAGACATCAAAATGACGTCACTTTGACATTTAATGTCATGTCAAAGACCATTTTGACATCTATTTTGTCAAAGTGACGTCTAATGTCATTAAATGTCAAAATAACATTTTGACGTTGAATGACGTCAAAATGATGTATGTTTGTTACCTGGGGTGAAACGCGTCGCGTGAAAAGGGATAAACGAAAAAAAAAAAAAAAAGGAACACCAAAAAACCCAAGTGTTAATCCAAGAAAAAATCAAAGAAAAGAGGGAGGAGATGGGGGGGGAGAGGGAGGGGTCGTTTGATAAATCTTTAGGGAATATCGCTTGCGTGTATATATGTGACAAGGCGCGCGATTACGTGTGTGTGTGCGAATCGCTTTTGTTTTTCTTTTTTTTCTTATTTTTTTTCTTACGAATCCGCGAATTTACGAGAACATTACAAATCCGCGATATATTTCCTCGGATAATCGCGATAATCGTTAGGGTCGCGAATTATTATTATTATACATTACGCACACATACATCAACGTATGTACTAATTACTTAGCCTAACCCGCTTGTGTGTGTTTGTTTGCAATAGTATACATACGCGTATAATATATATATATATATATATATATATATATATATATATATATATATATATATACATTAAATATTCTTCACTACAATCGTTGGAGACAAAATCGGCGACAAAATTGCGCTTCTTTTTCACAAAAAAAATATATATATGCTGTATGTATGTATGTATATATATATATATATATATATATATATATATATATATATATGTGTGTGTGTGTGTGTGTATCTCTTCTGGAGCACCGCGTGCGCGAATTGAGAAAAAAAAGATACGGCGCTTCCGGTTTCGATCCTTTTTTGCTCTAACACCCGCTAATTATTTGTTGTACCGGATGTACGGGGAAGCTTTCGGAAACTACGAACTGGGATATCTTTCTCTCGCAGCGGACGAGAATTACGATATACAGGGTCTCTCAGGATTTAACCGACAAATTGCGAGTGCATATTTTACAAGTGAAAATTAAAAAAAAAATGTTATATGAAGTTTGACTAGTAATGCTTTATTACAGAGTTTAAATTCAATATTCTGTACTAATCCTATATAAAAATAAATCTTGATAAAATCAGCTGATTTTTTATGTTCTCCCAAGTAGCAAACTGGCGTCATTAAACGTCAAAATGACGTCATTTTGACATTTAGTGATTTCAAAAAATGACGTCAGTTTGTTATCTGGGGTAGTTTATGGCCTGCTGAACAAAAATGTAATAGGCTCGAGGATAAATAATAGACAGTTACTGATTTACAGCTAGTAAAACATGAAAAACTCGAGTTGTTTGACTGGCTGTAGCTCAAAATTATCCATTATTTAACTTTGAGGCTATTACATCTTTTTCATCAGATTATAAGCTGCAACATATAAAACAAAAAAAATCAACTGATTTAACCAAAATTGAATTTCACATAGAATTAGTACAAGATTCTTTTTCCTGCAATAAGTTACATCGAATCAAGTTCTTCTATTTCAATATTTGTTTATAGTCTAGTAATAAAGTATTTCTAGTCGAACTTCATGTAACATTTTTTGTATTACACGTGCAGGCAAAGTGGCACTTTGTGTGCCTATTTTCTGTGCGGAAAGCGGCCGATTTCCCACGCCGGCATCTAGCGGCGACGCGGTGAGTGAATAAGCTGCATTCAAAGCCATTGCCTACGGCTGAGCCGCGTTCAAAGTCATTGCCCACGGCTTCAGCCGTGGACAATAACTTGGAACGCGGCTATTCCCACACCGTGCCGTCGCAAGATGGCGGCGTGCGATCGGCCACCTCGCGCACAGAAAACGCGCACAAAGCTACTTTGCCTGCACTTGTAATACAAAATAGTATGTGTATCACGTGCGGATTGACAATATACTATTTCCTATTTTCACTTGTAGAATATGTTCTCGCAATTTGTCGGTTAAATAAATCGTGGGTCCTGAGACACCCCGTATATATACATATACAATACATGTAATGTCAATTATATGTCATTTTCCAGAGAATCTCACGCACGAAGAATCCTTCCCGGCATCCTTGCGACTTTAGGAGACATTTCTGTGCGATTTCTCTCTCGTATACGATGAAAAGTCTCGCAATTCTTTATCTTATACATATATACACGTTTATTACATTCTATTACAAAAGTGGGAAATATTAAAATAGCCCTTTTACAATCGTCTCTTTTATGAACTGTCGTATCTGTACATTTTTTTTAAATCTCGAGTTTTTATTTAAACATTTGAGAATAAAAATCACGAAAAAAAAAAAATATTCTCAAGAGAGAGAGTCGATCCAAATATTTCGTCGCAGAATCGCAAATTCGTCGCAAAAAATCGCAAGAATTTCCAGAAGGAAAGTCTTTCCAGCGCGATATCACGATCCTCCATGAGAGTCTACATTTTTCCGTCTATTATTTATATTTGATTTATTCAAACTCAATCATCATATTTAACAGAAAACAGCTGACAATCCTATAATTTTGGAAACGCCCTGTACGCATGTATGTATATATGTATGTACGTGTGTATGTGTGTATTAATAAATGAAACGGCAGCATCGTAAGTTCAAAAAGTATATAGCAATATACACACAGCATTTTATCCTCGTTTCTCGCAGGAGATCGATTTCTCGTCCTTCCTTTCTTGCATCCTTTTTTTCCATCGCATTCGTAATAAAAAAATATACGAAAAACAAAAGAAGAAACGAAAAGCGAAACGTCCATCTCCTGCGAGATTTCTCTCTTCCTCTTTCGCACCTTTTTTATCTTGGTTTTTCTCGCTCTAAATACAGTAGTGTATGTGTGTGTGTAGGTACATATGCATCATCATATAACACCTAAAGCCAAAAGCTCCTGCTTATAATAATAATAATAATAATAATAATAATAAAATGATGAGATAATAATATATAATAGAGCAATCAATAGTACTAATTAATATTATATAATAGTGGTAATCGATAATCAATAATATACAGCATACTTTGAGGCACTTAAATGCGTGCTCAATTAGTCATCCCGATTTCTCGCAACACTTTTATTAGCTACTCCGAATTAGTGTGTGTTCTCTCGCGCACATTCTTTCTCGCTTTTTTTTTCTTTTTCCTTTTTCACTCTCTCTCTCTCTCTTTCTCTCTTTCCCAAGTAGCAAGCGTACGTCATTTTGACGTCCAATGACGTCACTTTGACACGTTTAATGACGTCAGTTTGCTACTTGGGTTGCCGAAGTAGTAGAAGGCGTGATACTAAAAATTCTTAAAACGTCTCGTCAGAGGGAGTCGATAAAATGGAAAGAATCTATTTCTCCGATCGCGGCGCGAAGAAACGGGAGGCTTAGCTTAAAAAAAGGGAGAGGACGAGGAGAGGAATCGAGCTTTCACAGAAAAAAAACCGGAAGTGGCCGCTCGTTCATCGGAGCGACTGCGGAAGAGTAAAGAAGAATCGCGATCAGGCAACAAGAAAATTCAATGAAAAGAGAGCGAGGGGATGGAATCGCGATGACGGTCGGGAATGGATGATGATTTGCTTATTTTTCCCGAAACAATCGGATCCAAATCGATCCCAGGGAAATTAGGGGATCGAGAATCGTGTTAAAAAAATTAAAAGGATGTAAAACTATGCGATTATTTCTCAAAACTAGGTAGAAATCTTCCAATAAAAAAAAAGAAGAAAATAATTAGGAGGAAGAGATTTCCAGAGATTCGTTCTTATTTCCGGAGATAAAAAAAAAATAGACGGGAAAACGCCGAAAATCCGAATCGAGATAAAATTGCGAGAGATATCGAAGATGGGTGAAGTTTCCAAGTGCAAAAAGAACTTTTTGCCTCGGGAGGGCAAATTTTTTGGAAAAAAAAACTCCCGAAGATTCGAGTCGATGAATTTAAATCCAATTCATATATTGAATATATCTGAAATGAACTTTGCGAATTGAGGAATGATCGTGATAAAGATTTTTCGACCAAACTGAGATCTTAAATGAATGCGAATAAATTTTTAGAGTGACTTTAAACACATTATAATTATAAGACATTTTTTTCGTGTGCAATCGATTGAAGAATTTAATTAAAATTTTTTTCAATTTCTTTCTATTAGACACACTTTTCTTATGCCTTCGTATAATAGAAAATTCTATTTTTGTATTATATTATAATACAATATAATTTCTATCGTGTATTATAATTGAAATTACGCTTTTATTTTCAAACTTACACTATTATGTGTTTTCAAAAAGTACCTATTTTTACAAAATTCAAGTTTTCCAAAATCACTCCTCAATTCTGAAAATTCTCGACTCTTATCCTAACTTTGCGGTTTCGATATCACCGTCAACTTTACTCGCGACGAATTTAAAATACAAAAAGATCTACTTTTCTCGACCGTCTTCCTCCCTCACCTCCTCCTTATCATCATCATCATCATCATCATCATCATCATCATCATCATCATCATCATCATCATCATCATCGTCATCATCATCATCATCATCATCATCATCATCGTCATCATCATCATCATCATCATCATCATCATCATCATCATCATCATCATCATCATCATCATCATCATCATCATCATAACATCTATCCTTCCTTTCTTCTCATCGCTTAAATCATCTCTTAAATCATCCACATAATCTCGCACGTAAAATTACAGCTTCGCGAGACGCGATATCCTCTCGTTCTCCTCGTTATTTATAATTTTTTTTTCGTCGCAATTAAAGAATTTGGGGGGGGGGGGGGGCGTGGAAGAGAGAAGAATTTTCTGTTTTATTTCCGCGCTTTTTCTACTTTGCGAGAATCTCTCATCCCTCTATTATATCCGACTTCGGCGTCCAATTTTCGTTGCATATCGGGAGATTTCGTCAAGCAATGTACGTGTGTTTTTGGCACAAATATATATATATGTATGTATATATATATCTATATATATATATATATAGACATGTTTTTTTCTTCTTTCTGGTTATATATATATAATTATTTTACGGCCCTGCGCGCGCGAAGGAGGGGCGGGGGAAGGGGTTTCTTTAAAAGATTAATGTGTATCTTATCTCTTTAACGCGTTTTTTCCTTTTTATACAAGCTAACAAATATGTACCTCAATCACAGAACCAAAAGCGATATATAACAATACTCTTCTTCTTCTTTCTTCTTCTCTCTCACGCAATTTATACTGGGTGATCGGGAAGTCGCGCGGTTGCTCGAGAGAAAAATTTATAGTATTTTAAAAGAAAAAAATGCTCCGCCTCTACATTGATCCGAAGTAATTTCTCGATCATATATATATAAATATATGTTAAATTTTTTAGATTCGTAAGATTTTTTTCTTTAAATCTGTATATGTATATATACTCGTTATTAATTAAAAGTCCTTAACTCTTACCAAATAAGAAAGTCTTAGTTAGACGTAAGATTCTTAATTAATAACGAGTATATATACATATATATATAGATATTTAACAAACACGGCATATATTTATATATACATATATATGATCGAAATGTACTTCGGATCAATATAGAGGCGCAACATTTTTAGAAAACTAAATTTTATTAAACATTAGATACACTGAAAACTCCCGTCTATCCGAAACTCGTCTTTTTTTTTTTTACAAGTCGATAAACATCCAAATCATCGATTTTTTTCATTAAACTTAAATTTTTACACGTTCCTACAATCTTTCGATTTTTTCCCGATCTTCGAAACATAGCGATTCGGCCTATCATGAGGTCTCTTTTTACAAAGCTCTTTCTATTATCAGACAAACACGGCACGCAGCCATGTTCTTTTCTTTCTCCCCTGGACTTTAGTCGCTTTTTCTTTTCTAAATTTCTTTCTCCGTCCGCTCGGATAATCATCGAAATCATCAGAGTCTTAGAATATCTCGGGTCTCTTCTCCCTTATCATTATTAAAGTCCTTCCGCGATCGCGAATAAATTACAATCGAAATCAATCATTGCGTCTCACGAAAATTGACGAATAAAGACCAATTAAAAAACAAATTAAAGGCGATCAACATCATCAATTCTCGTCGTCCCACGGGACTCTCCGATCACCCTGTAGTAATAATAATAGTAGCGCCCGCAAATGAGCCACTATAATTACACGCATTCGCACACATACACACACTATTTCTCTCTCTTTCTCTCTCTCACATTCTTGACCGATCTTCGTCGATCAATCCGATCGTTGATCGTAGGCGAGACGTCACTGTACAATGTAAAAAGTTCTCTCTTCCTCACGCGCCTGCAGCACGTGACGGCGTCGATCCGAGAGGGGAGGGGGCAGGCAGGGGGGGAGGATAGATAGGTAGGTGAAAGCTACAGCTGGCGAGCTCCGATATCCTGATTCCGTCCGATCCGATCCCGGCCCCGAGAAGATGGCGATGACGTCGTAGCGCAGCTAAATATCGTTCGTTTTTCATATCCCGAGTCGCGTGGTAGAGATATATTTCGGCAGCCTCCTACTCTTCGAATGCGACATCCGAAGTCGGCCCTTCGCCGTTTACACAGTGTGTCTTCTTCCTCTCTTCCGTCACCTTCATTCGGCACATGAGGAAACAGAAGACATACAGGTTGCTTTTTTTCCTCCTTTTTTTTTTAATGAAGAAACGATACTTTTGACTCCCGATTTTGTCTTACATCGATTCCAGGATCGGGGTTCATGGATGAGATCCAGGAAGGAAGAAGGATTTCTTCGGAAATCCGGAGGATTCAGGATTCATGGACTTCAACTGGTTCTGAGAATAATAGATAGCAATGAAAGAATTTGCATCGCGAAGAGAAGAAGCTACAATATGTGCGCGGAAAAGTTTGCCGAAAGTTTGGCAAGAGCTATATTTATATGTGCTTCAAAATTTTGTGATCCTTTCTCCTTTAACGTATGGCTAAACTTTTCAACATTCTTTTTTCCGCATACGTAGCTTCCTCGGAAGAGTGGAGTCTATGTAAAAATTGTTTGACGAGGTAATACTCACGTGCAGCCTTTAAACATTTCTGTCCCTCTCGTCTGTTTTGTGTTTTGTACAAGGTAGCTCACGACAATGTTGCGCTACTTGGGCATAGCTTGGCCTCGTAAGATCCTGTCGTGAACAACCAAACATTTATTAGAACAGGAAATTTAAAAAATATTCATTATTCTGAACATAAGGCCGGAGAATAATTATAATGCAACATTTCCGAGTGTGTAACAAATGTTCAAGGATTACCGTTTGTACCTTGAAAACCTTTACAAACGGTTTAGATTTTCAGATATAATATATGTATTATTGGAATATTTTGAACTGTTTAAAACACTTTTTTTTACGTTTATTTCTATCCATCTCTTCATCTTTATCCTTATCATATTTTATCCTTCTTCATACAGAATTTAACTGAACAAATATATATGGAACACACCATCAAATTCTTTTCAGATTAATTTGGAGACGATTATAGAGTTAAAATATTAACAAAGCTACATTCTTCAATTAATTTCAGGTAGGGTTTACTTTAATACATTGTTAATTTAAGACTCAGTTACAAAAATGACAAAAATTGAGAACATGTAAGAAATGATTTGAACATTTTCGCGGAGGAAACAAAAATTGGCCACAAAACCTGATAGTTTTCAGTTACACCCTGTCTATATGTGGAAATTTCCTCAGATTTTAGTTGCTTTCCATTTACATCAAAACGCAGATAAATCTCACTTGTATCTCTTTTCAACATCCACGTTAAAGAAAGACAAAAGTGAAATTTATCTGAGTTTCGATGTAAACGAAAAGCAACTATTGTCATCCTTAAAGATCTAAGATTAAATATCTTGAAATTCTTTGGGAGACGCTCCAAAAGGCTCTTCTCTTTGAGAGAACAGCTGGTGATACTTACTATAGGGAAGGCAGAGGCCACTCCAGTCTGCGATTGAGAGCTCTGTGAGGCAGTAGTAGGAGGAGGGACGACGACGACGTTGTTGCAATCGCACCTGGACATCGGCTCGGCGTCGTCCGTCGTCGCCGTCGTTGTCGCCGCCGTCGTCGTCGTTGTCGTCGTCGTGGTCGTCGTTATCGTCGCTGTCGCCGCAGGCAGGTGCGCGACAACAGGATCGTCCACACCGTTCACCATGTTCGAGTCGTCAGTCTTTATAGATCTGTCGACGGCATGTGCATTGTCAGTAGTAAAGAGCTAACACACATGCTTACTTTTAGCTATCCTCTCTCGGATTCATCTTTGGATCCTCCCAGGAAGACACAGACACTCCCAATACCTCTTTTCAACATTCTCCTGCCCCGAGGATACCAGGATAAACAAATATTTACATTCCCGAGTACTTTAGAGGTATCCTACCCCTCTTAGATTTTTATATCCTTCAGATCTTTGGACACACGTGAAAAAGGACTCCCCACAATTCTTATGGAAATTTGAATTGGCTAGTTCTTTCATATATTGTAGCTTCTGAACAAAAGATGTAATAGCTTCGAAATTAAATAATGGACAGCTACTGTCCAACCAAGATTCAATTTTATATAAGATTAGGAGTTTTGAACCTATATGACATTGAATCCTGATAAAATCAACTGGTTTTCTCACATGTTATAGCTTATGACCTGCTAAACAAACGATTAATAGCTTTAAAGCTAAATAATGGGATTACTGTCCAACCAAGATTCAATTTTATATAAGATTAGGAGTTTTTGAAGCTATATAAAATTGAATCCTAATCAAATCAGCTGGTTTCTTTACATGTTGTAGCTTATGACCTGCTGAACAAAAGATGTAATAGCTTCAAAGCTAAATAATGGATTGTTACTGTTCAATCAAGATTTAATTTCATATAGGATTAGTATTATAGTTTTTTGAATCTTGATAAGATTAGATGGTTTTTTCATTTTCGAGATCTGCGAATTGTTTGACTAGTTATAACTCAGTAACTTCATTATTTAGCTTCCAAGCTATTACATTTTTTTATTCAGCAAATCGTAAGCAACAATACATATAAAAAAACCAGCCAATTCTACTAAATCCAATTTCCATAAGGATTGTGAGAAAGTCCTTTATAGACAGACGATTGATTTTTATAATGAAAATTTCTTTTGCTTCTTAACGGAACTCAAGATCAAATAATTAGGGCTAATTTGCGATACTAAAGTGCGATACAATGCGAACTATATATAAATTACGTGCACCATCACATACTAAACGCACGCTACGTAACTGTTAATCCCGCACCGCATATATCAACTTCGTTCATGCACAATGAGAGGAGACTAAAACACTTCGTGTAGGCGATTCTCGAGTCGGTGAATCACTCGAAAGAATTTCGAGAACTTGGCCGTCCAAGCAGGAGCCAAGACGGAGCAGAAACTGATACTAAAATCACAAAGAAGCTTAAGTTGTCACAAAACTCGAACAATGTTGAAATTATAGACAAAGATGCGTCTTGTTAGAGAGAGCAAAAAAATTTTTTTTTTTAACGAGAAATGAAAATTTTATTTCGCGAGAACCGCCCAACGATCGAAGGGATACGCAAGAGATAAGGATTGTTGCAATATTATCGCAAGACACGATTAACAAACATCAGTATACACATTGTTTATTAATTTCTAGTTTCATCGCTGATGACAATGCAACTATAGTCAATTTACCAAAAAGGTCCATCAGGTGCCATGCTGAGGCCGTGTGTATTTTTTCTCATTTCTTCCGTTTATATTTATTTCTTTTTCAATCATCACGTGACGAGAATTACAACTTAACTAGTAACGTTAGAATTATGAGCTAGAGAAACTTCATCATCAAAATGCCTTTAAGAGTAACTCGAAACCGAAACAATAATAATTAATAATAATATCTTAATAATATTAAAAATTTATAATAATAATAATAATAATAAAGAAGAAAATGAGTGACAGTAGAACAATAATATATATATAATAATCATAATATACTAAAAGAAAGAAAAAAAAGAAGAGAAAAACCCTGAAAAATAATATCGTTCATCATATATGTATATCCCTATTTAACTTTTTATTTATTTGCCGCAACAAGAAAAGTACAGGCAAGAAGAGGAGAAATATACCATAAAATGATATATACCGCATACATTCCCGCACACGTATTATTAGCGTTCTAAGTAAGTGCGCTTCTAGCAATAGCTGTCTAATGCTAATTTTCAATCGAAGGTATGCGGTGTTGTGCTGCAATCATCGAAAGGAATAGTTCTTAGATCCCTCGATCATTGACGCGCTTAAATACTCCTTGGATTAGATATTATTAGGGAAAATTTTATATATATGTATATAAAAATTGATTTGACAATCCTGGATTCCCCAAAATTTTCTTAGGTTTGTCATGCAAGAAATTTTTTTAATACTCCTGGCTCCTCCATGTTGGAATTGTGACGTCAAGAGTTGAGAGAGTACACGTTAGAAATTCTTGCGTGTCATTTTTAGAATTTTTAATAAAAAGATATTTAGACGAAACAACTTCAGATTTTAGCACACTTTTAAAACAGTCCGAAACCGACTACCCAAGTAGCAAACTGGTCATTAAACGTCAAAATGACGTCATTTTTATGTTTAATGACGTCATTTTGACGTTTAAAATTTAAAATAATCTAAAGTTGTGTTTCATCAAAATAGCTTTTTAAAAATTCTAAAAATGGCATACAAGAATTTTCAATGTGTAATTTTCGCATCTCTGACGTCACAATCTAACATGGCGAGAAACATTAAAGATAAAATTCACAAATTGTGTTAATAAAAATGCAAGATACGAGGAAATAAAATAACACGTCGATATCCTGAGTCCTGAACTTGTCTCTTAAAAATATAAATGTAAATAAAAATATAAATAACTGAAAAATAATGTATTAAATCCAAGGAAATAATTTTCCACCTGGAAATATTCGAGGGCAATTCAATGATCCAGGAACGAAAGAATCTACTTCGCTTTCAAGAACTAAGCATTCTAAAAAAAAAAAAAAAAAAAAAAAAAAAAAAAAAAAACACGATACCGCAAACTTAAAAAACCCTTATTTACATACCGAATTTATACAGCATGCTTATAAAATCCTTATGAAGGAAAACAAAAGATTAATTCAAAGCCCTTATACACGAACAAAAAAAAAAGGTCTCTAGAAACACAGAATCGAGAAAGGCACGATAACGAAGTAATCGATAAGAGACAAAAAAAAATGGCAAATCGTAACAATTGCAAGTACATATAATTAATTAATTATTTATTAACTAAATGTAATAAACGACGATAAGACGTGAGGCTCTATCTCGCGTATATAAAATCCAAGGATCTAACACAACTCGAAGATTCAAAGAAGAAATCTCGAGCATAATAAAAAATACCCTCGTCTCGACATTCTCTTTTAGAGAGAGAAGGATCATATCGAGTCTCTGAGAAACTGGGAAAATCTATGCGAGATTAAAATATCTTGTAATCTCGAATCTCGAGTCGTATACTTATATTTAGATCCTTGGCCCTCTCTCTCTCTCTCTCTCTTTCTCTCTCGCAAATAATAATTTCCCCACGATAATAAAATACACGCATTTTTATTGAAAATAATAAAAAGTGGCGAGAATGCAGGCGGATAAGAGACTACTCCGGTAACTCGACAGGTCCCAGATAGCAAGCTTACGTCATTTTGACGTTTAATAACGTCAATGATGTCAAATTGACGTCATTTTGATGTTTAATGACGCCAATGACGTGGAATTGATGTCATTTTGACGTTTAATGACGCCAATGACGTAAAATTGACGTCACTTTGACATTTGATGACGTCAGTTTGATGTTTAATGACGTCAGTTTGCTACTTGGCGTATCAACGGTTAGTAAATGTTTCCTTTTATAACTCGAGATATTAAACTATGGCGATGGAAAAAAGAAAGCTTCAACCTTTTATATATCTTTTCAACGAAAAAAAGGAAAAGATCTCTCTCTTCCTCCTTCCAGGTAACAGATCGATCGACGTGAATTAATGTTCGATCGATCGGGGCCCGATCGATATCTCAGATCGGGAAGGAAGGATCGGATTCGAAGGAGGAATAAAATATCTCCATCACTCTTTCTCTCTCTCTCTCTCTCTACAGAACAACATAGCACATAATGCAGCCAACAATAACACAATAACAACAATGAAACACAATTCGGCATTCCTCAAGGCATATATTACGATACCCCATTTTACTTTTTTTTTTTTTAATCTAATGGGTCCTACATAAAACTTCGTACGGACGTCGCAATGTCGTATCCTTGGATCTTTAGATTTTTATTTTATTTTATTTTTTTTTTATTTTTATTTTATTTATTTTTATTTTTACACTATCTGTGTCGATGAAAATCTGGTGAAAAACTAAAGCTCTCTCTGTCTTTCTCTCTCTCTCTCTGAGAAGTCTAAGAATCCAAAGATACAAAAAAAGCAGAATTCGGGATGGAAGAAGTTCGAGAAGATATCGAATGACAATTGGAAGATCCAAGGATACCAAAAAACGGTCCACTCTGATCCGAGGATATAAAAATCCGACGACACAGGCATTCCTAGGGATCCCTAACAGAGAGAGAACCCCCAGTTGAATCTCTCAATTTCTTTTATAAATTGAAATATATATATAATATATATTATTATATGACCCCACATGACTCGCGCGTCTGCTTTCTATGAGTCAGGTATCAATTAATAATGTGATTAGATACAAACAATGTGTATGTATGTATGTATATATACATACATACATACATATATATATATATATATGTATATATACATACATACATACATACACCCACCCACCCACCCACCCACACACACACACACACACACACACATATATGATACTGTACATATATATCATTCTCGCAAAAAGTGCAAAGTAGTAAAATCATCATAACCATTTACAGGACTTAAAAGCAATGGAAAGTCAACTTTCAACCGCGTAAACCAAAAAAAAATCTACTTAGCAAAATATTAACGTAATGCTTTTTTGTAAATGGGCCAAAAAATTTTAGTGCGATTATCTCATCGTCTTATCAAAATCTCAATTACATGATTTTAGAACAACTTAAATCAAACACAAACACAATTATCTTTAATTATCTTTAAAAAAAAAAAAAAAAAAAAATAGCTGTAATTCCAACACAGGGATTGACGGACACAGCAACACGATTCACTAATATTTTAATCGCGCGAAATCTCGTTTTTTTGATTTTTTTTCTTTATTTTTAATCGCGTAAATATCCTTTCGAAGAATAGTTATTTCTTATTAGAAGCAAGTAAATGAAAAATTCAATTTTAAAAGAAGATAAAACTAAAATAATTACGAATGTAAAATTAAACTAAAACAGTCCTATAAAAGATTAACGATTCAAGGACCAAGAACTTTTCACTTTCTCTCTTTCTCTCTCTTTTTGCGCAGTAGCGCGCATATACATATATGTACATATATCGTGTATTGGGAGAGCGGAAAGTTTCGTCGTACTTTGGAACAAAACAGCCGTTTTTGTTTTCGCCTTCGTATAAATCGAGAGCTAAATAGCCACATTTTGCTTAAAAAAGAAAAAAAAAGAGGAATTCTACTCGAAGAATTTCCCTTAGCTCTCTCTCTTGTACGCATCAAACGAATAAAGAATGGCGACATTGTTGGAGAATCTTAAAAAAAAATTAAAAAAAAAAAAAAAAAAATTTGTATGACCGAAACATTTCCACACTTCACGACGAATCATCAAACATTACGTCGTCGGATAAAAAATGTGTACGGAGAGAGTCCTCCGCGTCGGAGGAGCCTCCTCTAAAAATCATATAAATCACATCTCCAAATTGGCAACCAGTTCGTCATTCGCAGTCAATGGAATTTTTCGCGAACCAACGCAACTCTCCGCAACTGCCCGAAACACCGTTTTTCTCTTTAACACCGAGAGCGAGCGTATAATTAAAAATCCCACTCACTTATCAGGAGATGACGGGGGAGTGAGCGCGATGACGGTGCTGAGCGCGGCGGCGGCGTCGAGCGATGATGTGTTCTCGTTGTTCAGCGTTGTCGTCGGCGGATTAAGGGTGTGCGCGGCGGCGGCGCTCGTCGACGAGTTCGTCGACGACGCAGCGTTTCCCGGTACCTCCGCTCCGGGGCTAGCGGACCTGCTGGCGACAGCCGTCGCGGTCGCTGGAGTCTGCGGAGGCGCCGCGGTTTGCTGCTGCTGGGGAGATTGCTGCTGCTGCTGCTGGTGGTTGCCACTAGCACTTTCCTTATCCTTCATGACAGCCTTGAGCTTGGCGGTGCCCTTGACGACGTCGGACAGTCGATTTTGCGACGAGGACTCGACGGTGCCGGTGCCGCTGGTGCCGATGTCAGTAGACGCTTTGCCGTGATCGGCATCGAGGCCAGGTAGAGGCGGAAACGCGGCCGCCTCGAGGTCAAACTGGACGCCGCTGCTGCGGCCACCGCCACCTGGACAGCTACCGCCGCTACTACTGCTGCCTCCGCTCGCCGGCAGGGACTCCTTGATCGCCGGCAGCGAATGATTATTTCCCGCAGCCACCTTCGCGTCCTGATCTTTGGTCCTGCGGTGGATACGGTGGCGCGGAAACGAAGGCGCCGAGGATAGGGAGGTGGCGGCGGTGGTAGTGGAGGAGGACTCGACCGTCGCGGCCGCCGCGTCCTGGTCCTGCGCGGAGGACGACGAGGAGGAGGAAGATCCCTTCGCGTGCTCGACGGACGACGAGACGAATGGAACTTTGTGCCGGACTGATAGGAAGAGGAGGACGACGAGGTGGGCGGCTTCGAGGAAGGCAGGCTCGAAGCGTGATAGGTGGACGTGGAGCTTAGAGACACGTTGCCGCCGGTCATAGGGGGATGGGAGCTACGATTGCTCAGCGGCGGCATAGACGACGGCTGATGGTGGTGGTGATGGTGGTGGTGGTGGTGATGATGGCTGTTGCTATTGTTGCTAGGATTGACGGGGTCTATCAAGCAGCTTCGGTCGGAGCCGTTTCTTTGTCTATTTCTATACAGCAACAAAAGAAGAGAAAATCAAAATGCTGAAATATCTCCACGAAGAACATCGTTATAATTATAAATCTCGGATATTGAGTCGTACCTGTGGCGAGGAGTGTATCTTGGGTTTGAACGAGTAAACGTGTTGTGCGGTGTGATTCCGTTCATCGTAAAAACACTGGACATATCGAAATAAGCGGGACTAGTTGGTCCCCAAGGCATCATACCGGGATAGAACGGTTGATGCTGAAAGGATAGATAAGTAAAAATATTTTCCGATCAATTTATGAAGGTCTACGATGTTTTGCGCACAATTTGAAGACTGTACTGTTATGTACTTACATAAACAACCTGGTTCGGGTACGCCGGCATCGTTTGAGGCATGGTCGTGCCATTGGTATAGAGAAAACGTTGTTGTCCAGTCGTGTAACTGCTCGGATCGTAGACAGGAGGAGGGGGTGGAGTTCTGTAGCCATTCTTTATACCACCTACATTGGCCACCGTTGGTATCGGTAGCCTGTTCATTGGTTTAGCTTTAATTCTCGCCATTATTGGCTTTCCCTGCATTAAAAATCAGAGTAAAAATATATTACAAACCTAAACTCGTAGTTATATAACTATACAGATATTCAATTGTGGATCTCTATGGATTTACTCTTTTTATATTTAATCTTTGGGAACATTTATACTTTACACTTTGTTGTCAATTATATTCGGATAAAATTATGTAAGCTTCGGTTATATAATTACACCAAGCCATTATGTAAAGCAATTTACCTGAAATTCTCGAACTTCCTCGCGTAAAAATCGATAGGCCTTTTGAGCATCGTCGTCGGATTCAAACGTCACGTACCACGAACTATTATGAGCAAACTCGCACGAGATAAGCCTCGGGCATCCTTCTCCGGAAAATAAATTCTGCAGTGAAAAATTAGCATGGATTAGAGTTTATTCTTGGTCTTTCTTTTTTTTTGTTTTTAAAAAGGATGACGTACCTTTACATCCTCCAATGGAGTACTATCTGGTATTTCACGAAGTATCACGATACATCGTTTGTGATTGGGTCTAACTTTCTGCCCCTCCTCGTCCACTTGCACATTGGGAGACTCCCTCAGCACCTCCGTTATAAGCTTGATATCTTTCGTCAGCTTCTTGACTTGATTAAAATTCGCTACTGTCCATATCGGCACATACTGATCATTATCCATTTGTGACAACAAATAGGTATCGTTGGCTAAATTCTCTCTGCAAAGAACAACGGTCGCGTTATCACATATCTCGTTACCTTGTGCTCTTACATATGCATGTGCTTATGTAATTTGAATATTAGTTGAAATAAGAATAATATTTTTGCAACATGAAAATGTCTTTCATCAGCTCAAATCACGCACGACGATTAATACAAAGCTTACTGCTTAATTGAGCTCACTAAATTCCTCATTTTCCCTTATATTTAATCAAGAATTGATCCAACAGATGTTGCAATGATTTTAGGTTAGTGATAACTCCATTTATGTAATATCATTATAAAATCATTAGAAGAGTAACATTATGTGCAGTCAAAAGTTGGACTTTAGACTCGATAATAAAGGAAAATCATTTGCAATTGATACAAAGTTATTTGCAAAATCATTTTGTAGCATCGAGGACTTCCAGAACTTTCCCTGGTTACCTGGAGAAATAGTACTCGAGTTGCGAAGAGAGCATCTGCTTGAGCTGTTCCAAGGGTATACCAGGGACATTTAGATCAGCCATTGGTGCGGATGGTGGCGGAGCGGCAGAAGCATCGCCCAGAGCAGCAACATCCACCGGACTGTATCCAATCGCGCCTCCATGCATGCCTATGGCGTGTTGGGGAGATGGTTCCAGATGGCTGCCGACACCAGCATCAAGAATCAGTTCACTGCCACTTGGCGCACCGTTCATGACTCCGTAGTCTATATTAGGCACTCCACCACCGATCGCTCCTGCAACCTGCAGACCCAGAGGTTCAGGGGTGGCTGGGTAGACCGCCCCTGGTGGCAGCTTCCCGATGTCCCCATTCATGTAAACGTACCCTACAAAGGGAGAAGGTTCATTATAGCAACTCTAAGAGTTCACAGATCTTCCTGCATCAAAGTTCATATGTATGTTACGATTAAGACCATGAACTTGTTACCGCAACGATTAAATTTGTTCATGTAACTGATATTCTGCGATGACAATTTACTTCAAGTAGACGCAAAGAAATCCAAATCAATTGAAGTCCAGAAACAGCACGTTTCTATCATTCTAACCTAGACTGAGGTGATAAGGTGCAAGTCCAGTTATTATGAAATATCATATTTCTGCGCACACATACACATCCTTGTACTTGTAATTTTAACAATTGGAGTTCGATGCTCAATCTATGATGACTCTACATAAAATGATCGGGTGTGTTTTGCATAGATCAATTATATAAGACATCGCAACTATTGTATTCAGAAGAAACGTGCCACAGAGTCATTCCAAGTCTAGAGTTCTCCTCCGCAGAATATCAAATGCCACTTGGCATATTGTAATCGTACCATACATATGCACACCACTTTGTCATCGATACTTAATAAGCTACTAATCCTCTGTCTGTGCAGCATCGATAGGCCTCACTTTGGTGAAACCATCAATAACACACGTAAAGGGTGTACAAATGACATTCACTAGGTGACAGCGACCGTACAGGCATGCTGATACACGCAAAACTAGTAGAGTAAAACGTGTACGAGCTCTCTCCCTTATTTTTCCCCAGGAAGTCAGGCTCACGAGGATCTCGACTACGAGGGGACGACGTCCACGACGGGGGGAAGGAGCCGGAAAGGGCCGCGGACGGCTCCCCAGCACGGGAGTATCGGACTGCGTGCCACGACGGCGGCCCCTCGGGCGGCCCGCGGCGCCCCAGGCGAGGATCTCCGCGTGACAGGACGCGCAATATGTTGGCGGAGCCCGACGAGTCGCGCGGCGAGTCGCGAGTTTATCTGCCAAATATAGCGCGGGATACCGGACTCGGGGAACGACCTCGACCAGCGGGGCCGGGTCGCTCTCAGGACGATGACAATAACGATGACGATGACAAGGACGACGATTACTGACGTCGACGATGACGATGACAACGTGTTGCCGCGACGCGAGTTTAAACGGAAAGACACACCAACATAAGGAAGTGATGATTTTGATGATGATGATGATGATGATGATGATGATGATGATGATGATGATGATGATGATTTGATGATGATGATGATGATGATTTTGATGATGATGATGATGATGATGATTTTGATGATGACGAAGAACTACACTCGTGTGTAACATCGATGACGATGACGATGAATGGATTGATGATCGTTACCGAAATCACCGTTCATCTCGAGACGGGCCCGGATGATCCCATGTGCCCTGAATCTAACGTTACGAGATGCCTGCCTGCCTGCCTGCCCGCTCGCTCGCTTAGCTCTATCTCCCTCTCTCTCTCGGACGGCCTCGTGCGGATCTCGGTTTCTCGAACTAAAAGCTCTCTCGAGGCACACTCGGTCGCTCTCTCAGCGCGCGGGGCGTCGCGAGCGCATTTGCCAATTCGCACGTTCTCGTGATTCACGCTCGTTCGTACGTTCAATCTCTCGCCGATCGAATCTAGCGGCCAGCTAACTAACTAAGGCTCGAACGTTTCTCGCTCGCTCGCACGCATGCACGCACACGCTCGAAATATGTAACGCGGAACAAGCACACGACACGACACGGTGCTGAGGAGAGAAGAAGAAGAAGAAGAAGACAGGCGACGACGTGACGGGACGAGAGCTGCTGCTGCTGCTGGCAGCACGTTTTTTTTTCCCTCTCGCGCGGAATCCGCGAGGCCGCGCGCGAGGACGCGTGAGAAGACGGGCGGGCAGGCGAGCGAGTGAGCGCGCGCGCGAGCGCGAGAGAGAGAGACAGACGTGTGTCCGCCCTTGTCCGCGAAGACGGTGAACCGCGACGCGCGGATGGATCGAAGCGGCTTCTTACGCTTACGCAGCCACGGAACGGTGTTTCCTTACCGAGGTGGAAGAATCGACACTCGACACGCACGGTCCCTCGAGCAAACTACAAAATGGCGGAAGGCACATGCCGTGGCGCGCGATGCATTCTGGGGCGCCCCCCGACGTGATGCGCCGCGCAACGCGATACGGACGGGAGCCTACGTCGCGCCGCTCGGAGTGGGGCCGCGCGCATGCGCGCGATAAGCCGCGCGTCACTTTCGAATTCTCCGCCCGCGTTCGAGTTTTCGTCTTCGGAATTTCCCCGATGTGATGATCGATGTATATATTCGTATATATACATGTTATTCGTTATATAATTATATTATTAATTTAGAGATATTTATTTTTGGTGATATATGATGTGTGTTATTATTAATATATTAGATATTGATGTTATAATTGTTATTATTAATAGTATTATTCATTTATTATTAATATTATAATATATAGATATAATTTATATGTAAAGATCAATGAGTTTCCCTCGACGGTGACTTTTTAATCGGGAGAGAATTTAAGGCCCTGGGAACAATAAAGAAAAATTATTTTTAAATAATAAAAACCGGAAACTGTGATATAAAAATATAAATAAATTTAGATATAAATATTGATTTTATTATTTGAAAATAATAATTTCTACTCCCCTTACTTTAAAATCATTCCTAATATTTCTCTTTATTTTACAATAATGAAAGTATTTATTAATGCGCAGGGCTTAAATTTTTTAAATAGAAAAAATATATTTTTTTTTACTTTTCATTCGTTCTTCTCTTTCATGTTACTTAATTCATTTTTTCGGAATCGAACGAATAGATGAAAACGCTTAATCTTTGATTATTCCTTAATTTCTTTATAAGTACTTTTATTTTATCGATATATAAAAACCTTAAATTATTATTCAAATTTAAATATCATTAAAATTTTTTTTATATTTTTAATTTTTATTATTTCTTCTTTTGCTGAAAAAGAACTCTATACTCATTTTTATATTATCTTTTATTTACTTGTCTCTTCAATCTCCTCAATTTTTTTATGAATTATTTTTTATTAATTTTGTTTTTCATCGATAAGAATCAACGTTGGAAAAAATTAATTAGAAATTAAATGCAGTTTGAGTTTTTGAAATAAAGAAAATGTAGGAAAAAATATGTATTTTAATTTTCATTATTTCTCCTCGAATCTCCTTTTATATCTTTCTTCAAATATTTTCATTACGATATCATATTTCCATTAAGATATAAAGTTTAACGGAAATTTCACTTTTCCCTGGAATTTCTGACAATAAAATGAAAAGAGTAGCGATAAAAATTTTACTTTTCCCTTATTACAAGTTCTTTATCTTAGGAACTTCATCTTTTTTATCTCTGGAATTTCATCTTTTTTATCTTAACACTTTAAATTCCTTTTGATTCTATATCGAACCTTTCAAAAAAGTTATACACGCGCTCTATTTTCTCTGAATTAATAGTTGTAAATAACAGATAAATTAATTGAATATTTTTGTCTGACAATATTTTGACTTGTTTTCGCAATTATTTTTAAAAAATCAAAATCTGCAACGCAATATACTACAGATTCCTCGAATAATTAGCAAAATATTTGTTAGTTACATGTAACTCGTTAATTACATGGAACTTATAAGGAAAGAAATTTATATCTCGATATAATTATTAATATTGCATATAGTTTCTAATCCGTTGTTGTGTGCGGTTTGAGCTAAATTAACGCGAAGAGGCTGCGATTCTACGAAACGTGATTATACAGCAAGCCTAGCACAATTGAAATCGATAAACAACGATAGCTTATCTAATGATTTTTTTTTCTCCGACGATCTACATCGTTCGGTTAATGAACACTTGTATACTTGCAGCGATAGAAATGCGATTCTCGACGAATCTCAGAATTCTTGAATTGGTTTGAATTTCTTTGTGTCATCTATCGTTATTTAAATAATTTGTTATCACATTATTATCGAAAACAGACAAAACGGTTTGTTCCATATTAATAGAATAGCGATATATTCTTATCATATATACAATATTCATATATATGTGTAAATAAAAATATATACTTCTATAAACAATTCAAATTTTTTAATAAAATTAATAAATTTTTACATCATTGAATTTTGAAACGATAAAGAGGAAGAGGGGAGAATGCGGTGAAATTACATCTCATTCATGTATTTATTTATTTATTTATCTAGAACAGCCACAAATTTCCATTAACTCTCGTTATCATTATTTCAAAAAAAAAACAAAAAAACAATTCATCGTTTAATTATTACTGGCTTAAAAAAAGGGGACGGGGGAGAGAAAGCAAGAAAAAGTGGACACGATATATATATATATATATACATATATATTATTCGGAATAAAAGAGGGATGTCCTCTACGTGAAAGGAAGAATCGAAACTGTCCTATAAATATTCAACAAAGTCGTCGCAATCTCAAAAAAAAAAAAAAAAAAAAAAAAAAAAAAAACCAGCGTGAAACACTTCATTTTCAGAAATATATATATATAAACGTAAAAAGGGGGGGAAAAGAAGAAAAATTTCTCAACACTTTTTCGATACTACAAAATGAAGGGATACAGACGAAGAAGAGCGGACGCGAGGAGAGAGAGAAAGAGATGATGTGAGCACAGAGAGAGAATCAATCTGGAACCTACGGTTACGCTTTGCTGCCTTCTCGGAACACGTCTATCGCGCCCAGGTACATACTACCTAACGCAAGAAAGAACCTCCATCCAGCACTTCTAATCACCGCTCGTTCATCTATGCCCCTATCTCCTCGACGATGATTATTAAAATCAGGTGTGTTGCCTGTCCACCGTTTTACCGCTGCTGCAAGGCAGGAAGAGAGACCACCTCCTACCTCAGCAGCCGCTATCACTTAACATAAGGCTTACAGTGTGATGTATTGCTTTTATATCTTGAGAAAAAGATTTTTTTTTCTGATTAGATTATATTGCCTATTATACGCCAGTTATACACCTATATAATCTCCTCTCTTTCTTCGCTAATATCTCCTCTTTTCCTCCTTTGTTTAATTCCTCTCTTTCGTTTTACTTCCTTCTCCGTTTCGTTTGTTTTCTTTTCTTTTTCTTTTTTTTTATTATTGAAATATATATGCGCGCGTTGTGTGTATGTATATATATATATATATATATATATTTATATATATTTATATTTATATGCTGATGTGATAGAATATAATCGGGATATCCCACGAGGAGTTTAGTGACTGATATACAGATTCAATTTGAGACAATGATGAAGCGCTGACGAGGGGCGGAGCTGTCTGCTGTTGTAAGTTGTGGCATGGATGATGATTGTTGTTGCTGCTGTTAAGTCGATTAAAAACCATGGACTTTCAGCTGGTCAGGTTTTGCCAGACCTGACTTTGTCAGCCACTGGCATATATTCTCTCGTTGGTCCCCCTGCAGCTGCAGCACCTCCCCGTACTCCGGGTGCTCTATTACTGTCCCATTGCAGGCAAACTCCTGTGTAAGATAAATCATATATTAGACTGGGTATTGACAAAAAGATCTTTATCTTGCTAGAGAATTCTAAATTCCTTCTAAGAAAGGTCGATTTTTCTTTATCTCCATGTACAATGTACTTAAAGCTTATCAGTATGAGATAACCACGACTAACTATAGCTTGGATATTTCCAAGCATAGATACAAATATGACGCTTATAAAGTGAAACAAAAATAGATATACTTTGAGTAATAAGAAAGGAATGTATAAGATAATTTATATATACACAATTTTCTCTTCCGTGTCAATAAATGGTTTTTAAATATCATTTCTAATACATACATGTAAAAATTTATATAAATTTTCTATCAATTACAAATACAAACATATAGAGAAGAAAAACATGCTTCCAATATACAATAAAATAAAATGTCATTCTATTTGCGGAAGCACAATAAAGTGTCGTACACATCAAAGAGAGAATATTAGATATCGACGGCATACAAAGTATCAATTAATGACTCATTCAACAATGAACAAGGCAGCTATAAAAAGCCAAGTCATCGTGCAATGATTTTGAATAGAAAACAAAGAATGCTATACGTCAAACCACTTGTAGATACAACTTGTGAGAATTTGCACAACTATATATCTGTACGTCGTGCACTGTCTTCATGATTCTTTGCATCAGACCTATTTTTAGAGTTCTGCCTGACTGACCAAAGGTGGGGGCAAAGTGCGGAGAGGGAGAAAGACACACACACACACACACACACATAACACAGAGGAGAGGTAGGAGAAAGGAGATCTCCGGAGGGGAAAGCACGCTCGCTCACCTTTTTACATGCTCTCACGATTTTCTTCAAGTCATATTCCGAGGAGAGTCCTTGCACCGTTGTTAAGGTTTTACGACCATTCCGCTGCTGGATCCTTATATGCACGAGGCCGTCCTGGACGTCATCATCTGAACCCTTGATTGCATCTGCAAAGGGGTCTGCGAAGAAGAGACAGAGAAATATGAAAAGAACCAACGGAAAATTGCGCAGGATGATGCAAGGGCGAGGAACGCGCGAACAACGCCGCCATCGCCATTTTGATTAACCCCAGAGGGGTGTCGGGGGTGGAAGGGGGTCCCCGCGGCAGTGCGGTTTTATCGTCCTCGTTCGCGAAAGAACGCGGTGCGAGACCCAGGATCCCGAAGACGGAGTCGGATGACAGCGCGGGAAGACGAGGACGAGCCGACGATAATTCGCGTTTTTATCCCATTTTTTTTCTTTTTTTTTTTTTTTGTCTTTTTTTCCCTTTCTTTTTCTTCCCCTCATACTCACCGAATGTGTTGAGATTCTGGATGGACATACGACAAACAAAAGAGACCCCTCGGATGATATAGAACTGCGGGAGCGCAGGTGGGCGACGATGCGTAGAGCGGATGGACGCGGGTGAATTTACACGGGCGATCAAATACACGGACGACGAGGTGACGAACTGCGGAGAACCAGCCAGAGAGTTCGACGAAATCAAGCGCGATGGCCGTGTACGCAGCCGGAAGTAAAAGTTGCATTTGTCACGGCGCACGATGGGTGGGGTTGCGGAGCCGCGATTGGTCGGCGAGCGCGAGAACTAGACGGGGCGCGCGATTGGTCGGCCGGAGAGACGGCGCGCGCCGATTGGCCGAGAGCGCGCGGCAGCCGAAAGTCCCTAGATTCCTAGGGACAGGCTTGTTCTCTCTAGGGACTCGCTCTGGGGAGAGATTCTTTTGGTGCCTTTCATTCTGATTGAGTGAATTTGGATCTTTCGATTTTCAAATTAAATTGAATGCTAGTGGTATTTGAAATAGGATAGATATATTTAATTCGATCCAAACTGGGGTCGATTGTGTAATTTTTTCTAAAGTAAAAATGTGAAAAGTGAAAAATTTCTTCCAATCACACATCGATTTTATTTTAAAATCAATGCGTGATTGGTGGAAATTTTTTACTTTTCACGTTTTCACTTTAGAAAAAGTTACACAATCGACCCCCTGGTCGAGAAAATTTTTATTTATTTCCACAACGTTTCGACCATCTGTTTTTGGTCCTTTTCAAGTGAAAAATTAGAATGGTATAACTTTCTTGATAAAAGCGCAGTTAGTTGACACTGTTGTCATGATTATTAAATAATATGATTATCGGACTTTTTTTTTAAAAAACATTTGAAAGAACTTTAAAATTTCTTGGCTAGAGTTTGGGTTGAATTAAATGTATCGTTCCTATTTTTCGATTTTAAATTTATAGTCAGGGTACTTATTACGGTTCTTTGGGTGAGTTTGCTCACGAGGCTATCAATGTTGTAATTTTTTCTAAAATGAAAACGTGAAAAGTGAAAAATTTTCGCCAATTGCACATCGATTTCATTTTAAAATCGATGCGTGATTAGCGAGAATTTTTCACTTTTCACAGTTTTACTTTAAAAAAAGTTACAGAATCGATACCGAGGTGAAAATCACAGAGATTCACTAGGTTGTCTACGCTTCTATTGGTCGAAATCTAGTGAATCTCTCACTTTTGTGATTTTCATCTCGTGAGCAAACTCACCCAAAGAACCGTGTAATAGGTACCCTGATGCGGGTTTGAGAAGAACTTTTGATTTGTCCGATTTGGAGAATAAAATGATGGAGTTGTACTTGTTTCTCAAATTTGTATTATATAGTATTCTATATTATTAGTTTACTGTACTAACAATAATTTGCTATCGTAATTAAACTTAATAATAAAATTGAGTTTGATTTATGATAGTGAACACAATTATGTTCATATTTAACTTTCTATTGTATTAAAAAATCTGCTTGCAAATATTAATTTATATAGCATATATATTTCATTTCGTTTAATATCTAACCGAATATAACCGAATATACGCGCGCAAAGCAGTTATATTATTTTTTGATAATTGGTGTATACCCCCACATCCATTACGTTGCGCGCCCAGAGCGAGACTGATTCTCGTTCGAGCATTGCAACTGCGAGGCTCACGGTCACGTGATTAGATCGGGGCGAGTATAGCGGGGAGCACACACTTTTGCATAAGCGCATAAGCGTAAGCATAAGAATCTTGATTGGTCTATAAACGTATGCACAAGAAATTCACCAATCGAATTTCTTATGCATATGCTTATGCGCTTATGCAAGAGTGTGTGCTCCCCGCTTATTGCAGCGTACAGACGCGCGAATCTAATGAAAGGGTAGATATATTGATAAAAAGATTCTTATAGAAAATTCGACTTTTTATTGTTTTCTGTTAAAAATTAATATATTGAATTTTTATGAATCACATAATTAATAAATATATTTCTATGAAGCATTGCAATAATAATTTTATATATGCGTTGCAATTTTTAACGTTTTATTAAATACGGTCTACAAAATGTCGAGGAAGGTCATTATTTTTTAATATTCCCAACTTCTAAAATTATGTATATCTTTGTAACTATAAGCCTTAAATTAAAATTCTATTAAAGTAAACTTTACCCGAAATAAACTAAAAAATGTAGGTTTATTAATAATTTATTTTCACATGGCTTCGTCACAAAACAGCTATTATTTTTAATTGTTTATAACTCTAAAATTATTGGTGCTTGGCGATTTTAGCAGAGGAAATATATCGTCTCCAAATCACCTGAAAAATCTTCTATTAAAGCGTGATACAGTATATATATTTTCGAATCAACTTAATTAATATTATAGCAAAATACAAATATTAGCTATATATCATGCAAATGTGTCATATGTTGTTTTCATATACTCTGTAATCGATAATTTGAGACAATTGAATATGAATTGTGAATGAAAATCAAAATTTACCGAGCAAGAATTTTTTTGTATTTTTATTTGCGTGTCGAAAATATCGAGGAAAATATCAATTTAAAGTTTTCACCGACAAATTCCGTACTTTTACGAAAGTACCATTTTCCTATTTCAAGAACAATGCAATTTCTTTGAATTTTAATAAATCTGTCAGGTAGTGCATTCTTGTATGAGAGAAATATAATAGAAAGAGTTTGAGTTAGGGCGGAATTCATAGATGTTTCTTGAGTTTCAAGACAACCTTAAGCTAGTGCTTAAGATCGTGATAGTTTCATGAACATTTCTAAAGACCGATTTTCAAACTGAAACTTGAGATCATGCTTAATGAAGCAAATTCTGTTTCATAGTCAAATCTTAAGTACGACTTAAAATTATTAGATGCACAATCATGACTCAAACCATATCTTGAGCAGGTCTTAATGAAGTCCAGTAAATTGTAGACTTAAGACGGTTGTGAAATAAAGTGCTGTATAGGTTATATAAAATAAAATAGTTATGTATCAATTATATTAAAATTATTTTAAAAATAAACATTTAATCCTATATACGATATTAATTAATTATTTATAATACATTTATTACAAATTTACATAATATTTATTATTTTGAGGTTTTATATTTACATTAAAGGTATTATGGAATTTAATATATTGGGCCAGTTTGACATTAACTTGTTTGAAAGTTCTGATTCCTCTTCTGATGAAGAAAATGACGAAAATGAAGAAATTGGCATAATACGTGAAAAACGATATGTGCGAGATGCAATTAATCCATTTACAGCTTATCGTGAACACGAATTTCATATAAGATATAGATTCTCAAAAAATTCTGTTATGCATGGATTATTGCCTTTGGTTATAAATGGTTTAACAAAGCCTGATAATCGAGGTCTTCCTATTGAACCAGTTATTCAATTGCTTATTTGTTTAAGATATTATGCTACCAGCAGTTTTCAAGTAAATTCTCTATATTACATATCATTAATTTTAAAAAGAGACATAAATAATTGTATTATATATTTTATGTTTTAGAAAGTAAACGGAGATCTTATGAAATTACCACAACCAACAATTAGTAGAATTATATTTAGAGTAACTATGATATTAGCATCTTATTTGAATAGTCATGTTAAATTTGTGACACATGAAGGAGCTATACAAGAAAACCGCAGATTATTTAAAGAATTAGGATATGGGAGATTTGGAGCTATTGGACTTCCTTACATTGATGGGGCAATAGACTGCACACACATTAGATTATTAAGTAATAATTTCGGGGGACTGGCTGAAATGTATAGAAATAGAAAAGGATATTTCTCTTTAAATGTCCAGGTAAAGTAATAAAAATTATGTTTCTATTTTACTAATATTTATTTGTTTTTTATTGTCTTATTCTTTATTTATTGTATAAGGCTATCGTGGGACCACGCATGGAATTTTTAGATCTCGTCCCAGAATGGCCAGGAAGGGAACACGATAGCAGAATTTTCCAAAATTCTAGAATTTTTATGCGGTATCAACAACGTGAATTAACAGGAATGATAGTTGGAGATTCTGGATATCCTGCTCTTACATTTCTGTTAACACCATTCAGAAATCCTCAAAATGAAGAGGAACAAAAGTTAGATATTAAAAATTGAAATTTAATAAATTTTGAAGTTTCTGGTTTTTTAATATACATACATATATTAATAATAAAAATTTTATCGAAGATATAATGAAATTCAATCAAGAACACGAATGGTTGTTGAAAGAACTTTTGGAGTATGGAAGAGACGATTTCCTTGCTTATCAAGAGGATTGTCTTTAAAACTTGTAACATGTACTGGAGTCGTATCAGCGTATGCAGTTTTACATAATTTAGCACTATATTTTAAAGATGTGCTTCCAGAAGAACCAGAAGTTGATGTAATAATTGAAGATAATGAAGAGCTTTATTACAATGAACTTCAGCAACCTGGAGATGGTTTTATTGTCAGGCAAAACATAGTTCGAGATTTATTTCGTTAACCTTAATGTAATGATATTAATTTTTAATTTTATGTTCCATTCATACATTTTTTACGTTATAATCCAACTATATATTTCAAATCTTATATTGGATTGCATTTTCTATTATATTAAACTTTCCAAAATGTTTTGATAATGTTAGTCATGATCATCATAGCGTCAATGAAAAGTTAGAGGTCCGTTATCTATAATTTTTAAGTAAATTCTGGCAGCCTCAATGTATTTAAAAAATTCTTTAGAAATCAAAGAGTAAATCATTAATTTTATTTTGTCATTTTATTACACTTTATTTTGTATTACATATTTGTTAATAATATGTATAATATATAATACTAAGATAATCATATGATATAATACTCTTAACATAATTCAAAATAAAATACAACATAACACAATATAATGCTGATAACATAATATAAAAAAATAATAATTTTTTAAAACTAGATTTCACTTCTTTTGACTAGTATTCTCAGTCTTATTTAACTTTTTAAATTAAAAATATAATGTAATAAAATAAAATAAGTGTAATTATAAACAATAATTTAGTAATAATAAAAATTAATGTAATAACATTATTTATAACTTAGTATTCACAGCGAATATTTTAGAAATTTTTTTCTACTCATCATCTGAGATATAATGTTCTCCCCTAGAATTTAAAAAACCTTTTTAAATTAAAATTTTATTTATAACTGAAGGGAAAAAGTCATTACTTACATTTCTCTTTGAGCACGAAATTTCGCTAATTTAGCTCTTTCTTGTAACTCTTTTTTTTCTAAGAACAACTTTTTAATCGTCATTTTATTAATAAACTGTTCTCGTTCTTTTTTAAGTTTACATATTTCGATTTCATGATTAATTTTTATATCTGCCAATTCCATTTCTTTGTCACATATTATAGTCATTCTTTCAGTTTTCTGTTTCTTTGAATTGGACCGTGATGTAGCATTTCTATTTTTGTTTCTCTTAAGTTCTCTATCTGATAAAATTGAATTTTCTTTTTCTGTAAAACATTATTTTCATATGTTAAAAATGAACAGCTTTTAATTTAAAATAATAGCTGCTTTTGCGACACAATCAAAATGATCCAGATTAAAATGATCCTGCGCTGTGATTGAATCCGAAATTTCTTTGAACATAATTCAAAAAAATTACAAATTTCAATCACAGCGCAGAATTATTTTAATGTGAATCATTTTGAATCTGTCGCGAAAGCAGCCAATATTTCATATTGTTTTACCAGATTCATTATTAGACTCTTTATCTATTGTATCATATATTGTATCATCCATTTCAAATTCCATGTCGTCAATGTTAAATGCTGGTTCATTAGATGTTAGTAATTTTTGTGTCTTCAAACACTCTCCACTAGCAATGTAATCAATTTTGGTCGAAGCATTCTGCTGAATTGCTTTTAAAACCTTTATTTGTCGATCTAAAATATTGAATTTAATCATTTTATCATTTAAGTTAAAAGAATTTATATATATTATTTATATATTATCACTTATATAAGCTTATATATTGCTTTTATATTCCTGCATACAAAAGTTACTTAGGTCCAATTGCACCAATGTTATTTGGGCTTTAAGCGAGACTTAAATATATATCCATTTTCTTTCTACATAAAGGCAGACACATATTTAAGTCTAGCTTAAAGCCAAAATAACATTAGTGCAATATCAGACCTTAAAGAAATGGTTGATGTTGTCATGAAATCAGATACAAGTACCTTCATATTCCGCCTTAGAAAAGTTACTTGAAGAAATGGTTGGTGCTGTTGTCATCAAATCAGGGACAATGTCTAAAACATTTGGATCAACTTCAGCAATATTTTTTTGTGGTCCTCCTCCTGTGAGAAATCTTGATTGTCTTTCAGTTGTTAATATATTTTTATTTTGCTGTTTTAAATTAGACCAATACTTCCTCAACTGTTGTACATCTCTCTATAATATAAAAACTATTTATATTTCAAAGAGAATTGATAAAATAGTAAAAATAATAAAGTAAATTTTATACTTTAGTAGAAATTAAGGAAGAGTTATTATATTCTTCCATAATAATAGACCAAGCCTCTGACTTCTCTTTTAACGTGGAGGTATTTGTACCTTTCGATTCAACAATATGTTTGTATTTTTTTAAGATCTCAAGGAATACTTGTTTTTCCAAATCTGAATATACCGTTCTTTTAGACATTATCTTTCTAAAAAATTTATTTTTTGAAAACAAAATTTTAAGAAAATGCAAAGGAAATAGATAATAGATTTTCACAACAAAATAGATAAGGTTAAGTTTTCTCTGTTTAAATAAATATTATAGTAAATATATAACAGTAATAATATCATAATTTTTCTCAATTTTTACTCACAATATACGCTAGTAAAGTAAAATAAATTAGTAAAATCTACCGTTTATTAGAATCTCGACAATGTATTTCTGATGACAGCGAAGACACACGTTTCTCTATGTATACTTTTAGATATTGAAATGTCATTGGTCAAATTTTAGGGAATTCCGAATATTTCCGAAGTTGGATGCTTAAGAATGAACTTTACTAAGACAGTCTTAAGCTTTAACCTGATTCTTCAAGACTCGTTTGTGCATATAGGACATTCTCAAGATAATTTTGGACGCTAAGTTCATCTTGGCGAAGACTATCTTAAGACAGATTTTAAGCAACATCTATGAATTCCACCCTTAGAGTTTTAGGAATGTGCCATTAACATGTTATATGGTAGATCTGAGACACTCTGTTATATTTCTTACGATAGAGCTATGGTATGAGCAAAAAGGCGCGATGATTTAATTTCTTGTTGATTTTCTAATTTCTCTCTTACGTTTATATAAAAAATAGTGATCTATTTTCAAACTCACTAACAATCTTGCTCATTATTTGTAAAAACTGAAACTGATTTGATAAATAAAATTAGAAATTTTTAA